TGTGTGTGTGTGTTACCTCATAGACATATGAGCTGCTCTATGCTGTTTTTCACACACAGAGCAAAGGGAAACAATGAATCACCAACCAGTTGGATCCAGAACACGTTCTCTCCTCCCCTCCTCTCTTCCCTGCATGTGGACAAAAAACTAGAAACAGAGAGGAATTATTTTCTCATATTTACCTAGGCAAGAGGTGTCTATCCAGAAAAGTTCTTAAGACAAATTTGACAGCTGGCTGTAACTTTACATTCCTTAATAAAATGAGATAAAAAGTATTTTAAAGTGTTTAATGTGTCGTTTAATGTGTCGGCAATTGGCAATAAATCAACGCGTTGCTATAGTTGGACACTCAGTACTCAAAATACATTCAAGATAAAGGTATGCAAGGTATTTGAAGGTATTGGAATCTCAGTTGTGACACACAGGTGACTTAGTTTTGTAATACACTTGTCAGTTGTACAGTAACACATTGAGATAGTGAATCTCTGACAGTTAGTGACTCATGATGGGCCAATAACACTTAACAATCCACGGCAAAGAGGAGAATAAACACAAGAGGGTAATAGTTTACCAGCAATCTTACCAGACTTATATACCCAACCAGCAGTCCGGACTATAACATTTTTTTTTCCTAGTGTCCACAATCAAAGTGACGTTTTTTATCCCATTTTTTTGCACAGTTTCAATAATGGTCTTCAGCCAGACTTGCCCAGTAGGGTTCCCTTGGGACAGATTGCACGTCTGGGAGTATGTAAAACGTCTGAAATCTGCTCAGAAAGAAAGATCAATGACCACAGAGAGGATTATAGGATACTTTCCAGTCAGCGTGCTGTCACTCAAAAATGGCCTCAAAGCCCAGCAGGCACTGGAACCCTCTCAACTTTGCTAGAGTGTCTCGTAAAATATCCAGCCTGTCAGAAGTGTGTTTGGAATTTTAAATTGTTCCAGTTTCATATTTTACTATATGGCAGGCATACATCTATTAATCAATCAATCAGATTGTTTGCATATTTTACTGCTAATGAAAGAAGCCTAGATGAAAGGATGTGAGGGGGTTCTTATTCAAGCAGTTACTTTCCACTTCAGAACTGATCTGGCATTGGAAGACAATGTTTTGATACGGTAGTACTGTGCTATAGCAGACTCTGCTGTGTATTATATCATATGCTTTGTAGATTTCTACTGTGTTCTTCTTACCATGTACGCACCTTTCCTCTGTAAAGCTAAGGTAAGTTTGCAGTGAGGAGAATTTGATTTTAAATGCTCCTGGAACTGAGTAGGGGGATATCAGACAAATAACGTGAATAATTATTGCAAATAATGTTCAGATACATGGAGTTATGCCAAATTATGAAATCATTGCTGCTCTTCTCTCCGGTACATCTACTCATTACTCTAGTCACGGTTGGAAAACAGGTGTTTTCAATACTGAGCCCTGTCTCCACGGTCCCGGACCCCCTTCATTTTCTGATGATGGTTCATATATGATATTTCATGGTTAAAACCGTACTCATGATAGGAAGTGATTGGGCAGGAACGTTCTCCTCTGAGGACATCCATGTAATGGATGCTGATTGGCCTGCTAAATCACTGAGGTCTGTAAGGCTCTAATGAGGGACAGCACAGATCAAGAATAGAATCATCATAAATACTGTATGTTTTCCTTCTCTCTCTCTCCAATGTTCAAATGATTACGAGCTGCTTTTCTCTGGCAGACAGAACCAGCAGGACTGGGCTGTGTTTTTTCAGTTTGATAGATGTGTTGTTGAGTCATTGGTTAAAACCAATGAGAGCAGAGGTGTGTTTACAGGACCTTAAGCTTGTGAGAATAAGACCATTCTTGGATACTGTTTCTTAAATACATGATATACTGGTAAATCATTTTCTCCATCTTTACTGTTCCATACTTGGATAGTTATATAGTATTGCAGATTTCCAATGTTAAAGCCACAGTCAGTAAGATGTCCTGTTATTTCAACTAATGAAATAAACCTGATTGATTTAATAATATATCATACTGTCTATACAGTGCCTTCAGAAGTATTCATACCCCTTGACTTTTTCCACATTTTGTTGTGTTACAGCCTGAACTTAAAATTGATTAAATTGAGATTGTGTGTCACTGGCATACATACAATACCCCATAATGTCAAAGTGGAATTATGTTTTAAACATTTTTACAAATTAATTAAAAATAAAAAGCTGAAATGTCTTGAGTCAATACGTATTCAACCCCTTTGTTACGGCAAGCCTAAATAAGTAGTAACATTTTGCTTAACAAGTCACATAAGTTTCATGGACTCACTCTGTGTGCAATAATAGTGTTTAACATGATTTTTGAATGACTCCCTCATCTCTGTACCCCACACATACAATTATCTGTAAGGTCCCTCAGTCAAGCAGTGAATTTCAAACACAGATTCAACCACAAAGGCCAGGGAGGTTTTCCAATGCCTCGCAAAGAAGGGCACCTATTGGTAGATGGGTAAAAATAATAAAAATAATGGACAATTAATATCCTTTTGTGCATGGTGAAGTTATTAATTACACTTTGGATTGCACCCAGTCACTACAAAGATACAGCCGTCCTTCCTAACTCAGTTGCTGGAGAGGAAGGAAACCACTCAGGGATTTCACCATGAGGCCAATGGTGACTTTAAAACAGTTAGAGTTTAATGGCTGTGATAGGAGAAACTGAGGATGGATCAACAACATTGTAGTTACTCCAAAATACTAACTTAAATGATAGAGTGAGAAGAAGGAAACCTGTACAGAATTAAAATATTAAAAAACATGCATCCTGTTTGCAATAAGGCACTAAAGTAAAACTGCAAAAAATTTGGCTAATAAATTAACTTTATGTCCTGAATACAAAGCATTATGTTTGGGGCAAATCCAACACAACAAATCACTGAGTACCACTCTTCATATTTTCAAGCATGGTGGTGGCTGCATCATGTTGTGGGTATGCTTGTTATCGGCAAGGACTAGGGAGATTTTGGGGATAAAAATAAACGGAATAGACCTAAGCACAGGCAAAATCTGGTTCAGTCTGCTTTCCAACAGACACTGGAAGACAAATTCACCTTTCAACAAGAAAATAACCTAAAACACAAGGCCAAATATACACTGGAGTTGCTTACCAAAATGACATTGAATGTTCCTGAGTGGCCTAGTTACAGATTTGACTTAAATCGGCTTGAAAATCTATGGCAAGACTTGAAAATGGCTGTCTAGCAATGATCAACAACCAACTTGACAGAGCTTGAAGAATAAAAAATAAAGAATAATGTGCAAATATTGTACAGGTGTGGAAAGCTCTTAGAGACTTACTCAGAAAGACTCACAGCTGTAATCGCTGTGAAATGTGATTCTAACATGTATTGACTCAGGGGTGTGAATACTTATGGAAATTAGATACTGTATTTCTGTATTTCATTTTCAATCATTTGGAGAACAAAAATATAAAAATGTTTTCGCTTTGTCATTATGGGGTATTATGTGTAGATGGGTGAGAAAAAAATATATTTAATTTTGAATTCAGGCTGTAACACAACAAAATGTGGAATAAGTCAAGCGGTATGAATACTTTCTGAAGGCGATGTATACCATATATATGGTAGAATATCATAGTAATTAAGTTCTATTTGCTTGGGAAAATGTCAGGGGATGCATTTACTCTATTGTTCGGGTTTTTGTTAGTGGTCCACTTTTTTGAAGATATGCACATCTTACAGAGAGTGACAGTTGTAAATGAATCAAAAACATGTAAATGAATTTAAATGTTTATTGAACTTTTGTGTGCTTGGCACCTGTATTTACAGTTTTTTAAAAGGCCTTTCAAAAGAATAATTTTGCTATTTCCCTTTTTTCTCACATTTGTTTTCATGATAGATTGGCCCATATAATTGTATTATTGCTTGGCACTTAAATACACTTATCTACAACACACCAAAACATACTATAATTACTCTGCTTTACTATTCTATCTTTATAACCTTTCACACAACAACTTTAAAGCTTATGGTTTTTGCTTGCATTCGCCATCTTATATATGCTTTTAAAAAGGTAATCCACTCAAAAATAGTGAAGCCATTCCAGTCTGTGAGGAAAGAAGTTGATAAGATTGTGGTGATTTCACTGTATTTCACTATATGTTCAGTGTCCACTTGAACAGAGCTTCTTGTCCAGCGTGTCCACAGAGGTGCAGGGCCAACAACTGGACCCCACCGTCGGACGGACACACATAGTTCCTCTGTCACCCTGACCTTTAGGTTTTTGACTTCATCCCTCCAGTATGTGCTGTATTATATTATATTCACCCTCTGTGCCTCGACCATCATCCTTCCATCATCCCATCTGAGTGGCCAGAGGGGAAAACCTTCATATTGAAATCCGTCATATTGATCCGGCACTGTTCATATCCACAACCCTCTCAGTTCTCTCCCAATGTTGCCACAACGTTATTGCATAATGTTCCATAAATGTCTTGTTAAAACTAGAGCAGTGGAAGTGGAGGTGAAGTTTCTGGATCACATCCTGTCCGGGGCTGGATATAGTCCATAGCAACAAGGCTGAGTTACTGTAGAGACTGTCATTACTATTGCACCATAACAGATTCATAGGTTCACTCCTGAGAATCCCTCGACAGTAAGAGTATGTGGTCTCCTCTCTTTCATGTATCCCCCTGTGTCCCCATGGTTGGGGTTAGGGTTCTAAACAGTCACTGAGAGTACGGTATATGGTTTCACTTCCCCTTTTTAACACTATTGTAGTAATTAAATAACAGTTCCACTTCCTTGTTTAAAGCATGTGGGGTGAAAAAAAAAAAAAAAAAAACACAATGAGATGAAAAGTCATTTTTTGAAAGGTTCACTTTGTACCTCAGTATTACAAACAACGCTAAATGTAAAATGACTCAACATCAATTCTTAGTAGAAGATACAGAACTTGAAATAACAGGACAGTGAAAATTGGTGTCAAAAGTGGGATCTCAGTTTTTACACAATGTGCATGGACATCTGAGAGGATGAGCCATACTGACGGCCATCACAGGAGCCAGCCCCCTGCTGGCCAGCGGAGGGATTGCCAATCATGTGCATGCTGTCCATGCCACCGTTGGACAGGTATTGGCGCTCGGCAAACACCCCGGCAGAGGAGGAGGAGCATAGGAGGCCGCTCTGGGTCTTCTCAGGGCTGGCGGCCAGGCGAGGGGAGGTGGGGAAGTTGTATCCATACAGGTTGTAGGGATTGTGGAGTGAGAAGGTGTTGTAAGATCCCTGCTGTACATGGTGGTGGCCCCCGCTGAACATGTGGGCAGAAGAGGGGGAGGAGCCTGAGGAGGAGGAGGAGGAGCCAGAGGCAGAGCTAGCGCCACCCTGCATCACATACTGCAGCTGGGAGGCCGGGAACGAGGTGAGCTGACCTCCGTAGGCATCCATCTTCCCGCCACCGCTGCCGCCAGACAGAGAGCCGTGGCCACCCCCCTGCATGCCCGCAGCGATCAGGGAGGACGTCCTCTGGGGCAGGAAGGATTCAGACTGCTGGACTGAGGCCACAGCGCCCCCTGCTGCCTGGAGGCGTCCATAGGAGCTGTCGGCCAGGCCCCCGTAGCCCTGCAGGGCCGCCATGTTGCTGCGGGCGCAGGCCGGGTACTCAGACAAGCCCATGCTGCACAGCTGGCTCTCCCTGCAGCCCACGTTGAAGGTGTTGGGGGCCAGGTGGAAGGTGGGTGGGGAGCAGGAGGGGGACAGGAGGTGAGCTGCGCCAGAAGGGGAGGGGGCTCCTGTGCTGGAGGTGGTGGGAGAGGTGCCGGTGCTTCCTCCTGAAAAACACACAGGGACACACACACACTCAACGCAAAGACAGTGAGACAGAGCCAGCGCTACGGAGTGAAACAACAGAAGCATTGGCCAACAATCACACTCAGAGTATCTCTCATTTCAGCCATTCGACCTATCGCCGTCAGAATGTCTCATTCCAGCAACTGCTGCCATTTGATCTTAACCGGTCAAATATGAGAGCCCTGTTTAAGGCTGGTGCATAAGCCACTTAATTCACATGTATTAAAGAATTCGATATTACACTTACTGGTCAATTTCAGCTGACTTTACCACTTTCATTTCCTCAACATCTGATTTTAAGGACTAATTGCATGACATCATTACTTCTTTGAAATAGTAGTATTTATGGGATCCTAAACCCTAAAATAACAGTACTTGTTTCTGAGCATAAATGTGGCTTCAGTTTGGTACAGTACATGTCTGGTCAACAGAGCTCCGAGCTTGCCCCTTTTCTCAAAGAATCATGCATTCATAATTTAGACATGAATGGACATCTTGGCACAGGTTAACATGCAATAAGTAAAGCTTATGGAATCGACCGATAGCTGTGGGATATCACTCACATATTTCTTTATTAATGAGAATTTGGCCCGCATTCATTTGAATGTTAGAGAAATCCAGTTTGAAACCAACTAAAGAAAAGAAAAACTGCATAACTAACTAATTCAGGACTCTCTCTTGGCCAGGGTTCTGATTCTGACTGCACCATATGCCTTCGATAATGTTCAGCTCAGTTCTGCAGGGTTCTGTTGGCCAGGAGAGGAGGATATCATAGTGATGTCATGTTTTCCTCTCTGGTCGGGCAGGGGTTAGAGTAGCTTCAGCGTCGCTGAGGGGAACTGTTTATTACCCCGCTGGACGGGCGTCTGGTGCCGCTGGGGGGGACGGGAGTGGAGGTAGGGGGACGACACATGCTCCAGCTCCGAGCCCTTACGGCGCGCCCAACGTTCATCAGCGGCGCGAGGACTCTAATTAACGTCTAATCGGTTTGGAGGAGTTTGTGATAACAAACAGATGTCGGCACAGACAAAATACTGAGAGGTGTAACGTCATCATAACCTCAGAGGAAGGGGCGCTGAAGAAATCGGCTTGCTTTAAAGCATCGGGGTGATTCCACTCATGTCACAAAGCCGTCCAAAAGCCACAGTGTTCATTTAATAATTGTATTTCAAGGCCCTGCAGAATGTGAAAAGTTCTGCAGATTCCAAGTTAAAGGGAGGTGCCAAAACAGGTGGTGATGACCAGACTGATTAAGATAATTGACGTGTTGTGAGGTAAAGGAAAGATATGAAGTGACAGTGAAAGAGTATATACAGTGGGGAAAAAAGTATTTAGTCAGCCACCAATTGTGCAAGTTCTCCCACTTAAAAAGATGAGAGAGGCCTGTAATTTTCATCATAGGTACACGTCAACTATGACAGACAAAATGAGGAAAAAAAATCCAGAAAATCACATTGTAGGATTTTTTATGAATTTATTTGCAAGTTATGGTGGAAAATAAGTATTTGGTCAATAACAAAAGTTTCTCAATACTTTGTTATATACCCTTTGTTGGCAATGACACAGGTCAGACGTTTTCTGTAAGTCTTCACACACTGTTGCTGGTATTTTGGCCCATTCCTCCATGCAGATCTCCTCTAGAGCAGTGATGTTTTGGGGCTGTCGCTGGGCAACACGGACTTTCAACTCCCTCCAAAGATTTTCTATGGGGTTGAGATCTGGAGACTGGCTAGGCCACTCCAGGACCTTGAAATGCTTCTTACGAAGCCACTCCTTCGTTGCCCGGGCGGTGTGTTTGGGATCATTGTCATGATGAAAGACCCAGCCACGTTTCATCTTCAATGCCCTTGCTGATGGAAGGAGGTTTTCACTCAAAATCTCACGATACATGGCCCCATTCATTCTTTCCTTTACACGGATCAGTCGTCCTGGTCCATTTGCAGAAAAACAGCCCCAAAGCATGATGTTTCCACCCCCATGCTTCACAGTAGGTATGGTGTTCTTTGGATGCAACTCAGCATTCTTTGTCCTCCAAACACGACGAGTTGAGTTTTTACCAAAAAGTTATATTTTGGTTTCATCTGACCATATGACATTCTCCCAATCCTCTTCTGGATCATCCAAATGCACTCTAGCAAACTTCAGACGGGCCTGGACATGTACTGGCTTAAGCAGGGGGACACGTCTGGCACTGCAGGATTTTAGTCCCTGGCGGCGTAGTGTGTTACTGATGGTAGGCTTTGTTACTTTGGTCCCAGCTCTCTGCAGGTCATTCACTAGGTCCCCCCGTGTGGTTCGGGATTTTTGCTCACCATTCTTGTGATCATTTTGACCCCACAGGGTGAGATCTTGCGTGGAGCCCCAGATCGAGGGAGATTATCAGTGGTCTTGTATGTCTTCCATTTCCTAATAATTGCTCCCACAGTTGATTTCTTCAAACCAAGCTGCTTACCTATTGCAGATTCAGTCTTCCCAGCCTGGTGCAGGTCTACAATTTTGTTTCTGGTGTCCTTTGACAGCTCTTTGGTCTTGGCCATAGTGGAGTTTGGAGTGTGACTGTTTGAGGTTGTGGACAGGTGTCTTTTATACTGATAACAAGTTCAAACAGGTGCCATTAATACAGGTAACGAGTGGAGGACAGAGGAGCCTCTTAAAGAAGAAGTTACAGGTCTGTGAGAGCCAGAAATCTTGCTTGTTTGTAGGTGACCAAATACTTATTTTCCACCATAATTTGCAAATAAATTCATAAAAAATCCTACAATGTGATTTTCTGCATTTCTTTTTCTCAATTTGTCTGTCATAGTTGACGTGTACCTATGATGAAAATTACAGGCCTCTCTCATCTTTTTAAGTGGGAGAACTTGCACAATTGGTGGCTGACTAAATACTTTTTTCCCCCACTGTATTATAGAAGATTGTAGAGATTAGGTCATAGTTTAGAGACAGTTGTACACACCTTGCTGTTTCTGCATGTTGGTGAAGTCCTCAAATGTGAGTGTCCTCACAGGCGGTCTCCAGAACGCATAGGTCTCCATGATCGCCTCCAGACCAGACCTGTGTGAGAGAGAGAATGAGAGACTGAAACAGTGGAGAAAAAAAAAGAGGGTCAGTGTGAGGGACGGATACATAAAACATAACAAAGCCGGGGTAAGAGAAAGAGGAAGGAAGAGTTGTGACGGCAAAACAGATAGTCAAAGAGCGAGAGAGGGACGTAGAGAAAGGAAGGAGTGTAAGTGAGAATGAGAGAGGAGGGAGGAAGAGAAGAAGAAGTGGAGTCAGACTGGGAGGAAACTGGAGCCATTAAAATGTGCAGGTTTTTACTGTGATCATAAATCTGAGTGACGTTTCATCTTGAATCTGTACACGGTTCTCCTTACTGCATGATTTACTCCCGTGTGCGCCTCTGGGCCCTGTCCCAGGGAAACGAGGGCCTGTCCTGACCATGTTATTTTAGGGCCAGTAACTCCCGGGCCATTCCAGCTCATTTGCGCGCTACGCTAATCACACTGGCCCTGGCCATCAGTGCACTCATTCATAGCGCTCAGGACCAAAACCCAACAAATGAGCTCTGCCCTGTTTTACCTCATAAAGTCAAGTGTCACCAGTCAAAAAATCTAGTTGACGACAATCATAATTTAATGCCTGAGAGAGAGCTCTATATTAAGATATAAATTCATAGAGGGGAAACAACCCAGTAGTTAATTAACGAATCAGCTTGTGTAATATGTCCTCGTTTTAATTCATTTCAGTTCGCTATAATGTGGAATAACTGACAGTTTAACAGTAATGAGGTAAATTACTACTGTAATGCATTGATATGAGTAGAGTTAGGGGGATATGTGTGAGGATACATTTTCTGTCTATAGATATCTTATTTCTACATCATCTTTTCATCTGTAGTTTTCTGCAATTAAATTCTAATGCTAGTTCATAAATCAGGCACTCTATTGTTTGAAAAATGAAAAAAGATGTCTCAAATAACTGTGCCAATAATTCGCTCCAGATGGGAGGGGAGCTTTCATGTGCTGGGGGTCTGGTTCAGTGTTTTCCCTGTTACATATGATAATCTGGACTGAGAGCAAGAGCGAGAGAGAGAGAGAGAGCTCTCCCCTACCCAGAACCTGTGGTTCTATCTCAGATGTAGTGGGGTTTTCTTGGCTGGGGAGAGAGTGACTGATTTTATATGGAGCAGCATATGGGATTAGGAGGTATCTCCAGGGGATTATTTCCATATTAAAGGCCACGTTGGAGAAAAGGACCGATTTGCGGCACACAGCATTGCGAACGCTGAGACAGGTTGTATTACACGGACCTCGGGTTAGTGGAGGAATGTATACCTGTTTCTACCTGAATCCCGAAATCCTTTAGCAAATGGGTTGCGGTCGATCTTTAGTCTAGTTATCTGTGGGAAAGAAAAACATGACAATCAAAACAAATTACATACGACCGATGCACGTTGGAGAGGGGAAAAACGGGTCAATATAAAGATTTCAAAAGAAACTGAAGTGTAAATGAAAGAATGTTTGAATGAATAAAGGAATTCATTTTTTTTTTAAATAATAATAATTGTCAATTTTCCATTCATAAACTGAATTTAAAGAGGAACTGACAGTGTTTTACCACCTTACATCTCATTACAATATGTTTATATACTGTACACCCTCGGGAAGAATATAGTGAATTTTTTTTTACATTTTGTGACAAGTGAGCGTTTCACATTTTGATACATTCATAGAATGTTTGGGAATGACGTCTAGTCGGGTATTTGTGAAAATTCTATAGTAATATGAGTGGGAAAGCTGCCGTGCATTTGGGCAATTAATAGACACCGCCAAATAAAAACTAATAAAAACGTATCAGTCTTTGTCCAGGCCCAGACTCTACACAGACCGGTGCACCATAACCAATCAGAGCTTCAGTTGGCGTATATGCAAATAACCCATTGCCATACTGGGGTATGCCATTCACTTTTATCTGTATGTTTACAGGCAGCTGCAACAGCACGACTTTAGAAAGAGCCAGATGAGCTAAAATGAAATCTAGTGAGGGATAAAGCCCAGACAAAAGGGAAAACGGTCAGATTTTTCAGCGTGTAGTTGCACTGATATGATGGGGAATAGTAGCCTGCTCGCTTGCCCTGCTGCAGCCTGCCTTCCAATACCAGCTTATGTCCCATAACCCACGTTTTTGAAAACTGAATGGGATTTACCAGCTTGCTTGCCTGCCTGCCAATTTGATCGATGACAAATACATTTGATTGACAACTAAGAGTTTCCTGTGGATAACAGTCGTTCAAGTTCAGAAGCGAGTCACATTTCTTGTTAGCTAGCTAACCAAATGACACCTGCAACTTAACTGTGCCACCGAAGCTGCTAAAAACTTTTTGTGTGATGACATTACATCCTAGCTACAGTGGGGAAAATAAGTATTTAGTCAGCCACCAATTGTGCAAGTTCTCCCACTTAAAAAGATGAGAGAGGCCTGTAATTTTCATCATAGGTACACGTCAACTATGACAGACAAATTGAGGAAAAAAAATCCAGAAAATCCCATTGTAGGATTTTTAATGAATTTATTTGCAAATTATGGTGGAAAATAAGTATTTGGTCACCTACAAACAAGCAAGATTTCTGGCTCTCACAGACCTGTAACTTCTTCTTTAAGAGGCTCCTCTGTCCTCCACTCGTTACCTGTATTAATGGCACCTGTTTGAACTTGTTATCAGTATAAAAGACACCTGTCCACAACCTCAAACAGTCACACTCCAAACTCCACAATGGCCAAGACCAAAGAGCTGTCAAAGGACACCAAAAACAAAATTGTAGACCTGCACCAGGCTGGGAAGACTGAATCTGCAATAGGTAAGCAGCTTGGTTTGAAGAAATCAACTGTGGGAGCAATTATTAGGAAATGGAAGACATAGAAGACCACTGATAATCTCCCTCGATCTGGGGCTCCACGCAAGATCTCACCCCGTGGGGTCAAAATGATCACAAGAACGGTGAGCAAAAATCTCAGAACCACACGGGGGGACCTAGTGAATGACCTGCAGAGAGCTGGGACCAAAGTAACAAAGCCTACCATCAGCAACACACTACGCCGCCAGGGACTCAAATCCTGCAGTGCGAGACGTGTCCCCCTGCTTAAGCCAGTACATGTCCAGGCCCGTCTGAAGTGCATTTGGATGATCCAGAAGAGGATTGGGAGAATGTCATACGGTCAGATGAAACCAAAATATAACTTTTTGGTAAAAACTCAACTCGTCATGTTTGGAGGACAAAGAATGCTGAGTTGCATCCAAAGAACACCATACCTACTGTGAAGCATGGGGTTGGAAACATCATGCTTTGGGGCTGTTTTTCTGCAAAGGGACCAGGACGACTGATCCGTGTAAAAGAAAGAATGAATGGGGCCATGTATCGTGAGATTTTGAGTGAAATCCTCCTTCCATCAGCAAGGGCATTGAAGATGAAACGTGGCTGGGTCTTTCAGCATGACAATGATCCCAAACACACCGCCCGGGCAACGAAGGAGTGGCTTCGTAAGAAGCATTTCAAGGTCCTGGAGTGGCCTAGCCAGTCTCCAGATCTCAACCCCATAGAAAATCTTTGGAGGGAGTTGAAAGTCCGTGTTGCCCAGCGACAGCCCCAAAACATCACTGCTCTGGAGGAGATCTGCATGGAGGAATGGGCCAAAATACCAGCAACAGTGTGTGAAAACCTTGTGAAGACTTACAGAAAACGTTTGACCTGTATCATTGCCAACAAAGGGTATATAACAAAGTATTGAGAAACTTTTGTTATTGACCAAATACTTATTTTCCACCATCATATGCCAATAAATTAATAAAAAATCCTACAATGTGATTTTCTGGATTTTTTTTTCTCATTTTGTCTGTCATAGTTGACGTGTACCTATGATGAAAATTACAGGCCTCTCTCATCTTTTTAAGTGGGAGAACTTGCACAATTGGTGGCTGACTAAATACTTTTTTTCCCCACTGTACATCAAGGCTCTGTGTTTTTAGCTTGCTAAATAAATACATAAATAAATAAAATAGCATATTAGCCACATTATGACTTATGATCATTGCCCATGCTAGTTTGATTGTGTTGAGATATCCACCTTACTTTCACCCTTATTTGTGCATCAGCCAAACGGCTTCAGGCAGCAAACAATGTACGAGTTGTGATTTACAACCTGATAGCAATTTTTATTAGACTGCCAAGCATTATATTAGTTAATTATATTAATCATGCATTGACTGCATCCATCTATTCTGCCAACAATACCTGACTATACGTAATGGAATTTTGAGTCAAATATAACAATTTTTTTTAACCTCTTACAAAGTTGGTTTTGAGGCATAAACTGTGAATTTGATATTTTGGACTGATATTATGATTGTCTGTTTGTTTCATTCATATCTGCAAAGTAGTTAAAACGGTGTCAGTTCCACTTTAAGTTCACTTCCAGAATTGACTCAAATTAAACTTGAATTGAACCTAAGCCTGGTGCAGATAGACCAATTGAGTGGCAACAGCATCATAGCAACAAAGAGAAAGGTGTCTGGCCTCAGACCTGTTGGTTCTGGTAGGCGGTGACAGTGGTGAAGACAGTCTCAGGGAAGCTGAAGGTCTTCACTCCCTCTCCGCTGGGAACAGGCTTGGTAGGGGACAGGTCACTGCTGAAGTCCTTCCTGATCACATGGACACGAGGCTGGTACTTATGCATGGAGTGGAGGATGATCTGAAACCACAGAGAGATTGTAATGGTTACATTGTGTGTGTGTATGTGTGTGCGTGTGCCTGTGTGTGTCTAAGCAAGTCTGAGTTCATATCAGGGTTGTATGATTAAGAAGAACACAAGTCCACACTTCTGATGAGAGAGGTGGTAAGGTAAGTATTTAACACCAGAGAGCAGAGCTGAGGCTTCCGGCTATGGTGGCCCAGCCTTCCCTCTGGCTCGCTGTCTGCTCTTGATTACATCCCGAGTGAGAAAGCCTCCCTGGAGCCGCAAACAACTAAGTGGGTCATTTCAAACAGATTGGGGAAACAATAACGTATAACATTGACAGTAAATGTAATATTCCAGCCCCCCATCCTCTTCACCTTGCCCCACTGCTCGGTCCAGGGGACCCCCAGTTAGGGCCGGGGTTCTGAGTCAGGTCAAACCCGCCTCAGTCACACATACACACACTGAGCTCACAACAACACAGAGCAGCCCAGGGACTTATCTGACAGATCTATTGTCAAAACAATACATGTAGTAATGTCATTAAAATAATAGGCCTACTGTAGTTATGAAGTGATTTCAGTTACATACACTGCTCAAAAAAATTAAGGGAACACTAAAATAACACATCCTAGATCTGAATGAATGAAATAATCTTTTTAAATACTTTTTTCTTTACATAGTTGAATGTGCTGACAACAAAATCACACAAAAAGTATCAATGGAAATCAAATTTATCAACCCATGGAGGTCTGGATTTGGAGTCACCCTCAAAATTAAAGTGGAAAACTACACTACAGGCTGATCCAACTTTGATGTAATGTCCTTAAAACAAGTCAAAATTAGGCTCAGTAGTGTGTGTGGCCTCCACGTGCCTGTATGACCTCCCTACAACGCCTGGGCATGCTCCTGATGAGGTGACGGATGGTCTCCTGAGGGATCTCCTCCCAGACCTGGACTAAAGCATCCGCCAACTCCTGGACAGTCTGTGGTGCAACGTGGTGTTGGTGGATGGAGCGAGACATGATGTCCCAGATGTGCTCAATTGGATTCAGGTCTGGGGAACGGGCGGGCCAGTCCATAGCATCAATGCCTTCCTCTTGCAGGAACTGCTGACACACTCCAGCCACATGAGGTCTAGCATTGTCTTGCATTAGGAGGAACCCAGGGCCAACCGCACCAGCATATGGTCTCACAAGGGGTCTGAGGATCTCATCTCGGTACCTAATGGCAGTCAGGCTACCTCTGGCGAGCACATGGAGGGCTGTGCGGCCCCCCAAAGAAATGCCACCCCACACCATGACTGACCCACCGCCAAACCGGTCATGCTGGAGGATGTTGCGGGCAGCAGAACGTTCTCCACGACGTCTCCAGACTCTGTCACGTCTGTCACGTGCTCAGTGTGAACCTGCTTTCATCTGTGAAGAGCACAGGGCGTCAGTGGCGAATTTGCCAATCTTGGTGTTCTCTGGCAAATGCCAAACGTCCTGCACGGTGTTGGGCTGTAAGCACAACCCCCACCTGTGGACGTCGGGCCCTCATACCAGCCTCATGGAGTCTGTTTCTGACCGTTTGAGCAGACACATGCACATTTGTGGCCTGCTGGAGGTCATTTTGCAGGGCTCTGGCAGTGCTCCTCCTGCTCCTCCTTGCACAAAGGCGGAGGTAGCGGTCCTGGGTTGTTGCCCTCCTACGGCCTCCTCCACGTCTCCTGATGTACTGGCCTGTCTCCTGGTAGCGCCTCCATGCTCTGGACACTACGCTGACAGACACAGCAAACCTTCTTGCCACAGCTCGCATTGATGTGCCATCCTGGATGAGCTGCACTACCTGAGCCACTTGTGTGGGTTGTAGACTCCGTCTCATGCTACCACTAGAGTGAAAGCACCGCCAGCATTCAAAAGTGACCAAAACATCAGCCAGGAAGCATAGGAACTGAGAAGTGGTCTGTGGTCACCACCTGCAAAACCAGTCCTTTATTGGGGGTGTCTTGCTAATTGCCTATAATTTCCACCTGTTGTCTATCCCATTTGCACAACAGCATGTGACATTTATTGTCAATCAGTGTTGCTTCCTAAGTGGACAGTTTGATTTCACAGAAGTGTGATTGACTTGGAGTTACATTGTGTTGTTTAAGTGTTCCCTTTATTTTTTTGAGCAGTGTATTTATTACATATTTACATGAATAACAAGCGAAAGCTAATCATCTTGGCTAATCACCCATGCGTCAATCTAAGTAACATAATAAAAAAAATCCCCATCAAAATCCGTCAGTTTAAGCTAGAGATATATTTGTTGCATGGGCTGCGTCTCAATCCACCACATCCGCCTATGTCGGCCTTCCGCATCTGCGGTGGAAGGTGGCAGAGCTACAGAGGTGTTTGTCAGACCATGAGACATCCCGAAAATCGGTCTTCTCATGAAAACATCTGTACTATTATGACCAATCTATGGAAAGGGGAGACTCTCCATTTTGCTCTACGACCCACACAAGTGTCACAGGACTCGTCTGAAGGTAACCCATATAAACAAATGGAAGTATGGAGGTAGTTTTGTGCCAACAAAAATTAGGGGTTAAATATGTGTCCAAAAAAACAAAAAGATTTCCTGAGCTTTCTTATATCTCCTAGAGACATAGAACAGACACTTTAAAACTTGATGATACATTTTTTGTCTGTATTTTTTGCCATTTATAAACGTGATATTCAATGCGTTTTTCTATGGGCTATAGTAGTAAAGGCCAAATTCAATATTTTATCCCCAAAAAACATATACCTAAAGGGGTCCTAAAATTCTAAATCAAATAGCTAAATGATCCATGGTATGACCATCTTAAAACAATTCCATATGTTAGGCCCCCCCAACGGCTTAGAGTTTTAGAGGTTTTTAAGAACCAATAGCCCTGCTTATCTGATTCAGAGGGGTTGAGTTAAATACGGAAGACACATTTCAGTTGAATGCATTCAGTTGTACAACTGACTAGGTATCCCCCTTTCCCTTTCCCTTATTATAGCAACCACTGTTGATGGAGAGGTTTGATAGTATGGCAAGTCGGAGGAAGAAGAGAAGAGTGATGGGACAGATACCCGCCTATCTGCGATGAGGTTTCCCACACATGAAGTTCCAAAGTTAATTTCCTCTCGCCTCAATGCCTCCAGCGGAACAAAGGCCTTATAACACAACTGTGGGAGAGAAAAAGGGGCCATGCCTAACTCCCCCCAAAAATACGTACCCACTGCTGCATCTAACACCCATCTGTTATTACATTTGTCAGAATAACGGAGCTGCGATAACATCAGCTGGCCGGGTGGAAAACAGGCCCATATGAGGACCTGAATGTGCCAGCCCATCAGCGCCTCACTAAGCTACATGAAGCCACTGGCAGCCATTTTGAGAGAAGATTCTAAAAATGATGTATCTCTCCATCATGGCTGCATAGGTTGGGTCCATCTTGAGTAATTACATTACCTGGCATCACTAAATCAGGACCTCTATGGAGAAATTGATTTGCACTGGCTCTTCTGACTGTTTCAACAACGTCAAGGCCCCGTAATAAAAGCAATCTGGCCTGTAACAGCACGGAGTTCATGTCATGAGGAGATCCATCTTGTGCCATAACTACATCAATGCTGATCGACTATTTCAGCATCAGTCGATGAAGACCGCAGTAGAAAAAAAATAGTATTCTTCTCTAAGAATAGTCTTATCTACACATGGGTGGGGTGAAGTAAAATGTATGCACTCACTAACTGTAAGTCGCTCTGAATAAGTGCGTCTGCAAAAATGACTAAAATGTAAGTAAATTCCCATATTACAATGTAAAACACTTTGAGAAATACTGAAACAGTACAATTACATCTTTATATTAGTGTACAGGTGTAAAATTGCACAGGTGTAGGAGAGAGGCAAGAGTATGGTATGTCAAGTTAAGCCGGCTCACCGGCTCACTCACATGGCCCTGGTCGTCCAGCTCGTTGTTAGTGAGTTTGAGTTTGTCGAAGCTGACCACCTGCCTCATCCAGGTGTCTCCAGAGGCCAGGGAGTCTGGGTGGATGTAGACCCGCGGGGGCACTGGGGAGTCCGCGTTCCCCGCCACCATCCACTTGGAGCTGTGATACACATACCTGGAGGACAGACACACAGTGACAGACGTATCAGCACCAAACCTTATTTCACATTTGATTCTCTGTTTTTTTTCCACAGGTTTTGCATATGTTATTGTGAAGCATTGTAGTCGTGGAGTTCATGTGTCATGTGTTGCAGAGCTTGCTCACAATAGAGATATCAAATATCCCCACACATACTACATATGCTTTTAACGACATATTCACAATTAAGCTCAGTCATAACATTTTACGTTAGAGTACAATATGGCTGCCCTGCCCAGCACAGAGCATTCCCCTCACTGACTGACTGACGCAAGAGAGGGACTCCAATCCACTGTAGCCCCAAGCACAGCTGTTTGCCTTTAGTTCTGTCCATGCGCACAGTTGAAAGTGCTTAGCTGCAACGCTTCTTCCAGTCTTCACTCAGCGACAAAACTCTAATTTGGCCTCTTTGTTATTGTCTAGCAGCGTTACACCACCCTCTTGGTCTCTCTCTCTCTCTCTCACACACACAGCCTTGACCACCCTGTACACACGTACACACTCTCTCACCTCTTTAGCACACAAGAAACACGCACACAAACACACACCAGACCAAACACACACACACACACAGAATGCCAGGGTTTGTGTAATTTCCTGTTTGGAGTGCTGTTTAGGGTTAAGCTCTATGTAACAGGGAAAGTGTTGAAGAAGAGAGACCTTAGCCCCAAACAGGACTGGAAATTTGATTAGCCCCCTTTCATCTTCCATAAATCTGCCATCTGACTCCCGCACAATCAATAAAGACCTGACTTTATGTGACACCATTTGGACAGATGAGGGTAGCCTAGCCCCCTCATCCAACACCACACACACACACACACACACACACACACACAACATATGTATGCATGCAACTCAAACAGATATATACTTTTATGGACACACAGACATTCTGACAGACACACACATTAAAAGACTCACACACACTTGCCAAACCCAGGCTGTACTTTATATTGGGTTACCTTAACTGACAAAGTAAGTATCACTATTACATGACCCTACAGCAGGGTCCCCAACAGGTATATCTATTTTTTCTTTCGGAGGGGGGACATAAAAGACTGTGAAAACACCAGGAAATCCGCTCCAAGTGATTTACATTTTTGGAAATCTGTTCGCAAATATTCCCTTACATAATAGAGAGACTCTAGATCGTTTACAAATGTAAGCAAGGTTTGAAATGATTATGTTTCGGCCCCCCGACCATCCGCTAAAGAAAAAAATGGCCCGTGGTTGAATCTAATTGATCATCCCTGCCATACACGGTTGACTGGTGTGTGCTCAGAGTTTACATCATTAAGTCAAGTCCTCGTATGTGAACGTGTTTTCGTATGTGTGTGTGTGTGAGAGTGTTTTCAAATATTTGAAGAGTTAGACAGTGCTGGTGTCTGTTTGTGATTCAAATTTAGAACATACCAACTGTCCACATAAAAGACAAGTAAAATATGGAGATTTAACAAGCCCAGTATAAATGAGACACTCCTGAAGAGAGGCAGAGAGCCTAAGTAAAGCAAGTAAATTTCAATAAAGACTATTTCCAGACCCCAATTCTATGAGAACTATGAGACATTCCAGTCACAGCTCGGAGCTCAGTTTGCAAAGCCCTGTGGTAAAGTCCCCAGCCAGGAAGAAAATCCTATTTAATTTTACAAGATCTTTTGGCTTCTAAAAATCCTCCATAATATGTTGGTTCTCTAGACCGTCGCCTCGTAGACAAATGCTTCAGTCAGTTAGAGAGCCAGGGTTCTATGATCCCACAATGAAACATTTACATAAATAAACAACTGGGGAAAATAATATGAATGCATTGTTAAAGTGGTTCCTCAAGTCCTGTTTATCAAATAAAATGTAAACATAGTAAAAATGTCTGTAACAATAATATAACATTAATGCATGTTATTGATATATAAACTGAAGATGTACTCCGTTAAATTAGAGAAAAAATTAAACAAAGGCATTGTGACCCATCTGTAACACTGCTATAACATTAATTAAACTATGACACTTCGCCATTTGTCTGTCGCTCTGCCACATCACCAATGTATGACACATTAAACTGCGTCCTTCAGCTGAGGTAGTACATTAAAACAATATCTTACATCATAAGAATTGTATTCCACCGTGGTCAAAGAACCAGGTTTACGGTAGAAAGATGTTTTGCGATTTCCATAGTGAATAAAGCTATCAATATTATGGTCTCACTCTAACCATACACACATCATATGATAAATACTGTTCATTCTCCTCTCCTATGGTCTCTTTCTCTCCAGACAATGTGCTCTATGCCAGAAATTCATTCAGATACTTTGGCCAGAGATATCCATCATAAAAACCTATCCCCAAGATGGACATACTGTAAAGGTCATTGTTTCAGGTTCAATTCAGATTTATGTGCATATCTGCATACCATTTGAAATGTGCAATGATCTGTCTATGCTTTTTGGGTTTTTGGGGACTACTCTCCATCTTAAAATACACAACAACTATTTATCGGCTATGTTGTCCAAGTTGGGGGTAGAGCCTATTTTGGTTTGACTGAATGAGAACATCAATCTCAGACATGGAGAGTGTCATGTTCCAATAGCATGTGTTGTGTATATATCTGTACATCACCGTGCGATAGCACACACGATAGTACACACCCATCCGAATGAGTGATGGCAAGTTAGGAAATGTTAGGAAGTGCTAAGAAGTGTGAGCATACCTTAGGAAGATAGGAGCATACCTGTATCTCTTATTGTCCACAGGAACAATGTCCATGGCTATGTAATACTGCTGATGGGAGTCCAGACCCACAATCTTTACTCTCATCGCAGGGAACATCCGCCTGAGAGAGAGAGCGAGAGCGAGAGAGAGAGAGAGATATTAGAAATATAGCTTGCAAAGTTGAATATTGGATTATGAGTATCACCCTTAAAAAAGGAACCCTGCAACATGTAGACATTAAGTATAATTCCAATCATGCCACTAGAAATACATTCTAGTGCATGCCACTGGGAAAATCACTGGGCAAATTCATAAGACCCAAGAGAGGGACATGGTTTAAAGTTTGACCAATGTCTTGCCAGTCATATAGCTAATTTTCACCCCTCATAACAGCGCTTAGACACATAATTTTATGATAATTCCTTAAAATGTCTGTATCAACATTCCATGTCTTCATTAAATAAATATTATTCAGATGAAAGAAAGTAAGTCATTTCATCCTCAAAGAAGATTGAAACTGTTTTAATGCAGGAGCTAGCAACAAACTCACTCTTCCTTGAAGATATGCACCCAATCATGAGAAGTTTTTTGGTAATTCGACGCAAACCAAACCATGAAAAACAAAAGAAGCCATATTAAAAGTAGGACTGCACATACACAGAGACATTTTCAAGTTAATTCCTTGTTTTACACTTCAAAAGCTGCATTTTTCTTTTCATTTAAACGTCATAAATCTTTGCCCTCATAATGACAAAAGAGGTCTGTTTTCTTACTTCCTTTCTCCTCTGAATTTATAGGCTTATTATTAGCAGAGGCATGAAATACACGCAGCTAGTCGTGTAAACTCTACTGCATTTAAACAGGGACTGATTATATTTATGGGGCGATTAACAACGTAAATCTGATTCATGAATATCACAAAAACAACGTTGATCATATATTGTTTAGGTAAATCAGATTTATGGGTTAACTGAAAGTTGGTGTACATGTGTTATTAAAACAGAAGAACAAACGGGAAAATACAAACCTACAACTTTACAATACAAATTTAAAATGTTATGTAATTTGATAGAGGCCTACCAAAAGAACATTAAACACGCAAACAACTTGGTCCTTGCCATTTCTCCATAAAAACATGTAGACTAATTGGTCAACATGATACATTGACGAAAATAATCAGTGGATAGCCTATCTAGTCTAACGAAATGGAAAGCATGCTTTTCAAATGAGAAGACTAAGAGAAATATGCGCATCCCCGTGTTAGGCCATATATAGCCTATACTGCTCTGCCCTCACTCCCTTCTAATGCATGTCACATATACAGAGGAATTATTATAGGCCTATTTTTGTTAAATGTGATGAATATCATACAATTTTCTGCAGTTAAACATCATATCATAATATTTTATGTTATTAAAGGTAGTAGGCCAATATTAGCCTAAAAGTAATAATAATAATAATAATAATAATAATAATAATAATAAATGCCATTTAGGAGACGCTTTTATCCAAAACGACTTACAGTCATGCATGCATACATTTAACTTATGGGTGGACCCGGGAATCGAACTCACGGTCCTGGTGGTGCAAGCGACATGCTCTATCAACTGAGCAATACTGGACCATACATGGTTGTAGATGTGGAAAAATCAAAAGGCTTGATGCTGATGATTTTACTGGGCCTCTATTTCGCTTTTATTGACAATAAATGGTAGCCTAAAACACAACTAATATTCCTGATTAATGACAATTATTTAAATATATTTTTCAACAAAAATAGTCAGAAAAGGGAGTTGAAATGGGCAACTGGGCAAGTCGAATTTCACGAACCAGAGTAAAATAAAGTGGCCTTTAAAACTAAAACCCGTTAGGTTAGATTTTAGATGAACACCTTCACCTTTCTTAAACCTAGTTTTGAAATAAACAAATGATGTATTATAAACCATAGGCCTACAGAAGACGATATGCCTTCACAGTGTTTTTCACTTGTTTTATGGAGGAAAAAGTCATACCCACGACCGCTTTATTGCTAGGCCTTCTTCGTGAATCAGTCGACTACATAAATTCATCGTTCGCCTGTTGCTTGATCGTTAAATTCAAAATGGACGGGAAATACCTGGTGTTCCTGGCGAGGGGGAAAGGTCTTCATGAGAACAGTGTAGGTTAAGTTATATACTCGGCTTGGGTTGTAATTGCTGCCCAAAAGAGCAAGAAAACCAAAAACATGTTTCAAAGAGATTAATTTGAAACAGTTCCTTTCTTCCCCGGCTATTCTCTAACATCAGCCATGGAATACCCTCATATGTCATGTATGGCCTGTGATTACAGAGCGGCCCTCGCGTGTCCGGAGCCCTTGCCCCCATGTGCAACACATTAGCACCCCTCAAAAACATGCGTGCTACAGGGGTAATGCATAGCGCACGGGCGTCTTTTGCGCAAAAATAAGCTACGTGTGTGAATGTGTGTGTCACCTTAGAAAAAAAAGTGACATCAAACCTAAAATGATTATTCGGCTGTCCCCATAGGAGAACCCTTTAAATAACAATTTTTACAGGTAGAACCCTTTTGGTTCAAGGTATAACTATTTTGTGTTTCATGTAGAAACCTTTCCACAGAGGAACCAAAAAGGGTTCTACCTGGAACCAAAAAGGATCCCTTTTGGAACCCTTTTTTCTAAGAGTGTATCTTAAGTGCAAGAAGAAAATATAATAATCAGCGGAGTCCTTTAAATCATAAATATGTAGCAGCTACTTTACCTCCCCGCTTTCGTGATGATCATCTCCGTGCCAATTTCATGGAAGCGCTTCCAGAGGTCCGCGCACTGCAGCTCCACCTGAATCTCCTCCATTGAGGCAGTGGGGGACAACTCGCAGGCCGCCGGGGCCAGGTCCTCGGGGGAGCCGAAGGAGCACGACGTCCTCTCCGCCAGACCCTCGCCGTCTGAACCGGGGCTCGCCTCCGAATCTGTGGAGATTAACACGATTATGAAAAAATGTAGCCCTGGTAAAGCGGGGGCCTCAGGAAAGTTAGTTGAGTATTGACGGTTGAGGCCAAATCATCTGCAGCATGAACTCCGAGAAAGCACTGAATCTGACTCACTCAAATCATATTGGTTTGGTTGGATTTCAAAGAATAAAATAGAAATCTGACTCTAAAACTATTCCGTTTGCGTTTGAAATGTCATAAAGTAACCACAAGGGTAACGCTTCAATCAAACGAAATGTGCATTTTACATGAAAGAACGCCCACCAACAAAATTCTAAAAGCTATATTTAACCCAACTGATTGTCACGCCAACTACAAACTGTAATTCATATCACTATGTCTACATATGTCATATATTAACAAAGCTATATTTTCCCCCAATGAAATCTCTGGCAACACAATAAGAACAACTACAATAGCAAAATAAATGTATAGCCTGCATAAAGAACTTGAATAGTCAACGACATTTTCCAGAATAACTGTTCCAGATCTTAGCTTCCAAAGAAACCTATAGGCTTACATTACTGGCTGCAACATTTTATGTTAGACATTGAGAACACTATGTAGTGAAAAAAACATTTAGCCATGTATCAGCTCATAAATATATATTTGTTTTATTATATACAGCCTACTGTAAAGTTATGAATTGTATATTTCAATTTCTTATTAATGTACTTGTCTCCTCCTTATGTGCCAATATGTAATATGATATTATTTATTGAGGGCCCTGACATGAGTAGGTTGCTTTGGCAGGACACACCATGCAAACAGGGTTTTATGCAGATGCAGGACTGCTGAGAGACTGGAGTGTGGCCCAGGACTAACCACCAAGTAATCACGACCCCAAAACAAGAGACAAGAGCATGGAGTGGAGACATGAAGACACTGCAGGCAGGACAGCTCCACCACAGAGACAAAGAGGGAGATGAGTGAGGTGCAGAGAAGGGGAGTGAGAGATCCTTTCAGTATAATGGCAGTGATGACTCTCTCTGTGTGAGCCAAGGAACATGGCAAGACAGAACGACTGTTGATTGACCCATACAGCCACCATGCATCCAGCAGCCAGCAGCCATCAGCCACACAGCGGGCCAGGCCAGAGATCTGGGCCTGCTCAGCGCCATCATGGCTGCTGCTGTTGTCTCGGCGCTTTACTGTCATCAAGCTACACCGCGTCCATCCACCAGCACTCACCGAGTCACCATGCTGTCCCTCACATGTCACCAGACCAGTCTCTGTCCATCACAGCTATCCCACTGTCCCCCTCCACACGGACAGCCTGCTATCAGTCCCACCCACTATAACCAATAGGTACAGAGCAGAGCTACAAAAGTGTGAGAAAAACTACACACATCTGTCCCACATTACACAGGATATTGCTGGGTAGAAATATGCATATCAAGAGAACGAGAGAGATGGAGTGAGGGACAAATAAATAAATATATTGAAGGAAGTAGCACTTCATGGCAGCTTACAGATAGAAAGGTGGAAGCAGAGTCAGAAATCTGGTGCTAACCTTAAGTGCATGACTAATGCTGACTAACTAGACAATCATAGCTTATTATTCTTACACAAACTTATTCACTATGTGATTATCTAATTTGGACAAAAAAAATTTACAAATATATATATACTTTTTTTACGAACAAAAATGTTTGTGATGATTGAATTGGAACAATGCACTGGCTATTCATATAGTATGACTGCATATGTTCATTGGTGATTGTTGCAACACTTCCTTTACAAGGTAAAGACCTTTCTATAGGAACAAGTTTATGAATAGAAGATGCATTTAATACAGTTGTAACAGAGTGGGTAAGTAGCAATCTACCAACCATGAAATCGCAGAGTAACCCAATCCACAAGAATCAGAACCACCTGTTTCCGCCTGTAATTAATTCAGGCACATGTTAGGGAGAGGCAATGAAAGAAGGATTAAACCCTTTTAATAGTGCAAACAAACATCTGTTGGTTTACATTTAGGCTTTTCTCAGAGGCATCATTTTAAAAGTTGGGTTTCTAACATACAAAACGAGCAGCTATTTGCATTTTGTGAACGAGGAATCATCACCCCAGAAGTACCAAGTGACAATGTATATATCATATATTAGGCTATATAATATATTATTATATAGAATAGGTTAACCATATTGAAACCTCAGAGTTAAATGAAGTACGGACAGAATAATCACAAAATCACAAATACAGGGCTCAATTTTTTTTATAAAGATTAAACATTCTGTCTCTTAAAAATCAGTGTAACTCCATAGACAAAGAAAAAAAAGTGTACATGGTTATCCATAATACAGATTCCTAGTGTGAGACAGAGACCGCTGTCCAAGCCATGTAGCAGGCCAGTAATAGGTTTAAGAGTGAGATTAAAGATAATCTATAGTGATATATTTCCCAGTCTGAATGTTTACATTTATTTGTAAATCCATAAAAAGAAAAGCAGTTTCTCTCTGTCTGACACACGCAAGTGCACGCACACACACACAAACTGCTGACAGTGCTGATATTTACATTTAAGGCAGGCAATTAAATATTGACAATAGTCCTTGCTTTGGAGGGGAAATTCTGCAGATAGGCCTACATGTGCTTGTCTGAAACGAAGGTAATGTTTGTCATACATGCTGGCTCTCTGGGAAACGGGATTGTTTTTTTTATTTTATTTTTAAACGGGATTGTTATTAATCCAGTTTAAACTATTGTGTGGTGGTGGTTTTCTTACACTTTTGATCTTTTTTTTCCCCATGACGTGTCTTTCAATAAGAATGTTATTTGACCATGTCGGTTTGAAAGCCTCACATGGAGGCAAAATCATTATGTAAAAAGCCTAAACCGCACAAACTGACCACAAAGACTAGCTGTTTTCAGTGATGGCTGGTCTATACGCGTCAACTGGAGGCTAGTCAAGGCTGGATACTCACACTGCTTGCGACGCTGCCAGGAATCTAGCTCCTATATGACTTGGAGCTCGCGAGACAATGTGCCTTTTCAATCAACGACGACTCTAACTTAAACGACCCATGTGAAACCGTGGAGGATGTATAACCTGTCCTTGACTGACTGAATCGCAGTTAATGGTAGTACTGATACCCTGCATCTCAGCTGTGAACAAATTTTGTTCGGTCCACCGCATTTGTGAGGCATCCCCCAAATTCACAACACTTGCTGCTGCGCATCACGCGCCAGACAACAGCCTCTGTGCGTGAGGGTCAAGTCAGCCTCTAAAATGAACTGTAAAATTAGAAAATACATGTGTAGGCCTAGATCATTAAGCCATGCACGTGACGCTAAATTAGGTTTCTAATTAACCAAATAAGATATTTTCTATGTATAGGCATATAGTCTATAATGCAAAAAAAAAAAAGGAGCGAAATATCAAATAGGCTATTAGTTTGAGATCCTTTTAGAAAGAAAAAAAATGTAGGCCTATTTGATAAAAAAGCAGGAGGGACTTCGCGCTTTGTCTATAGGCTACTAGGCCTATTGTGAATCCAATTGTAATGGGAATTGTAATATTGAGACGTTGGTTTACGTGTCTGTTGAAATTCAATGTAGGCTATAATGAGCTGAGAGGAGATATATCATTTCATATTAGGCTTATGATTCATATATGTGGCCTGAGAGGGTTAGAATGGGATATGGAACATTAAATTCAAACCTGCCCCAAATCCCCCAAGACGTAGAAAAGACGAGACAGTCAATTAATTTTGTGACATTTCGCCTATTAAATCACATATTAGTTCGTTTTAAGTTTGCATAAAAAGGCCTAGGCGTCTTCGTAAATAATTTGGAAGATTCTATTATTTAAAATGATAGGATATGCCCATCTTGAATCTAATGTGACTTGCGTCATAGGCATGCAATAACTTTGGCCTATTGCAAATTCGGATAGGCCAGGCTACTTGTTATTACAACATTTGCAACAAAGAAAAAGTGAAAACAAATTGTTTACCTAAAATATATTTGCGATTTAGTATTATCAAATGTTTTGACAGTAATAAAAAGCCTGCGTGATTTATAGGCCTTAAAGATTAGCCTGAGCCTCTTGATTTGGCGATTTCGGCTTACAAAATTAATATTATCAATTTGAATTAAATAAACGTTGATATCCAATTCTGCTTTAGACTATCCTTATAGGTGATTGCTGAGATTGTCAAAAATTGACTGAAAGCTGTGATTCTTTCCTTCGCAATAAAAGTTATCGAATGAACCCATTTTCAGTAGGCTAGGACACAAACTCAGGCAGAGGTTGCGTGTCCGTTCAATTTTATATAGATACATAGTTTAGCCTATACTATTGGAAAAATAAAGTAATAAAACATAATAATAAAAATAGTTTAAACGTAGGTCTACGTTTTATTGGCCTATTGTTTCCCAAATAGGAAGAATGACGGCGTTAGTCTAGGCCTATAGATATGTTGCACGAAATTAGAATAGAAAATGCAGGGCACACAGGCTAACCAAGTGAAAACAACTTGCACACATAGGCCTACACTTACACAGACGCATTGTCTCATATTCTATTTGAACTCACACAAAAAAATGTATAGGTATCCCAGATGTGGCTTGTGATGGCTTATTTCTACATATTGTGCCAAGCTCCAAAAATGCATGATTTGCATTGAATCACAGAAACTACACTAAATCGTTCTGCCAATATAGGCCTACCTCATCTCAGCAAAACATTTCTCCCAATTCAAGACCATCTAAATAAGTAAATATGAATTACAACTGACCATGTATCCACTTGAGTCACTAGCATGGTCAATTGTATTGTATCAAGAGAGGCACGCGTGAAAGAGAGACGGGGCAAATTTACTCAGCTAGGCCTCTGCAAATGGAGAGGGGACACAATGGTAATATAATGTTTAACGTAACCATTTATCATATGAATGAAGATAGCCTAATTGTGCAATAAGAACATAAACCGTGCTCTGCTGCAGTAGGCTACTGCGTTTTTCTGCGTGCGTCATGGTCTAGTGACGCCTTGATCAGACCGACAGTGTCATTGCATTCTGATACTCCTGATACTCCTCTGTAGCTCAGCTGGTAGAGCACGGCGCTTGTAACGCCAAGGTAGTGGGTTCGATCGCCGGGACCACCCATACACAAAAAATGTATGCACGCATGACTGTAAGTCGCTTTGGATAAAAGCGTCTGCTAAATGGCATATTATTATTATTATTATTATTATTATTATTCATTTCCATTTATCCAACATATGCATCAAATTGTATGCGTAGACGTGACAGAAATACACTAAACAAAAATATAAAGGCAACATGTAAAGTGTTGGTCCCATGTTTCATGAGCCGAAAGAAAATATCCCAGAAATTGTCCAAAAGCACAAAAAGCTTATTTCTCTCAAATGTTGTGCACAAATGTGTTTACATCCCTGTTAGTGAGCATTTCTCCTTTGCCAAGAAAATCCATCCACCTGACAGGTGTGGCATATCAAGAAGCTGATTAAACAGCATGATCATTACACAGGTGCACCTTGTGCTGGGAACAATAAAAGGCCACTCTAAAATGTGCAGTTTTGTCACACAACGCAATGCCACAGATGTCTCAAGTTGAGGGAGCGTGCAATTGGCATGCTGACTGCAGGAATGTCCAACAGAGCTGTTGGCAGATAATTTAATGTTAATTTCTCTACCATAGGCCATCTCCAATGTCGTTTTAGAGAATTTGGCTGTATGTCCAATTGGCCTCACAACCGCAGACCACGTGTATGGCGTCATGTGGGCAAGCGGTTTGCTGATGTCAACGTTGTGAACAGAGTGCCCAATGGTGGAGGTGGGGTTATGGTATGGGCAGGCATAAGCTACGGACAACAAACCCAATTGCATACTATCGATGGCAATTTGAATGCACAAAAATACTGTGATGAGATCCTGAGGGGGGAGGGGGGGGGGGATTATCTGTGACCAACAGATACATATCTGTATTCCCAGTCATGTGAAATCCATAGATTAGGGCCTAATGAATTTATTTAAATGTACTGATTTCCTCATATGAACTGTAACTCAGTAAAATCTTAAAAATTGTTGCATGTTGAATTTATATATTTTTTCAGTATAGTAACAAAAGGTGAATGTTGAAATGTTGTTGCTCACATTTCCAGTAAAAAATTTGGATTAATGAATAAAGTTTGACTGCAGAATTTATTACGCATCGACACAGTCGGTCTGACCGACGCGTGACAGGCCAATTAATTTGTTAAAACGAAGGCATTTATACAAAATAAATATTTGGGGTTGGTTAACTCCTTTGATAATGTATGCAAAGTTAAAACACCACTATTATGGTATGATAGTTAGGCTGTGTTAAACTACTACATTATTTATGGTCACTATTAGTCTACAGAAGTTCTATAGCCTATTATTCCACATTAGTAGGCCTATCTGAGGAAAACGTTATAAGTAGTTATCTTAGAGACGGTGATGAAATAGTAGCCTTTTTTGTATTCCTCTTTTCCGTTAGATAGGCCTATCCGTAGTTTTCTGATGGAACATAACAATATTCAAAAAAAACAAAGTATGAAGTGATGGTGGTTATGCACTGACCGGGGTCGATATCCAGACAATGCACAGGGTCGTCACCGTCTCCTAATTGTCCGTTGTTGGCGAGGCTCTCCATAGACAACTCCAGATCCTTTTCCTCCCAGGCCCGGAGCTTTCTCTTCTTGTTTGACCCGATCAGGGCTTCCACCGAAAAGGCGTGCGCTCTTGAGCTCAGAGCAGCAGCAGATCGCCTCCTGTCACTCATTTCTCTCAAGGCAAATCCACCAGAGGGAAAACAAAAACTCCGTCCACGCAGCGAGCACAAGGAAAATGCACACGTCAATGTTTAAAATGGTGAAAAAGTCGCCAATGACGAAAGTAATCCAAAAACTATGTCTAGAAATTATGTTTCAAACCTCTAAAGATATGATACGCCATCCCTACGGCGCATTTGATTGCTCGAAAGTTACCCAGGAATATATTTTAACGCTATCTATCGCTTTTTGTCTCTCCGTCCTGCTTTCCTGCCTATTTCTCTTCCCCTTTCTGTCCTTCTCCTCTCTCTCTGATTGATACTCACTTCTGGATAACTTTTTTTTCCCGAAGCGTTAAGGGCAACCCTTTTGCTCACTGTCAAATCGCGCGGGTCCAATGAGAAGTTTGGAAAGAGAGAGAGCCAAAATGTGTCAACCAATAGCAAATGAGAGAAACACCAACTCCTGAAGCAAGAATCCTAAACCGAACCCTTGTAACTGACCATCTAACACTGAATTAACATCGTCAGGGCTTTAAGGGAAAAAATATAACTAAATGTATTTGATAAATATTATGGTCAGCTACCTGCTCCCCCCCCCCCCCTACTGCCCCCCCTCCCGGACCTCCTACCCCTCCTCTACAAATATGTTACTAAGATTTACTTGAATTACTTGTATGAAATCATTGTGCAATGATAAACTGTCACTGAAAACCTCCATGCATCCTATTGAATGTGCGAAGACATGCATAAAGGGCCAAGAACAAGTGATGTTTCCAACTTACCACATTTATAATGCGGCATTATACAAAGGTTGGCTATGTTTCCGAATTTTTATTAGGGTCCATACAATGTCGGAACACTGTCTACTAACTTCTTATCACCATGTATCATAGTCTACTCTATTGCATAAATAGGGCTTTATTGATTTCAAAATGACCTGATTTAATTAAGTTACATTAGAGCTTCATGAACAGCTGAAAATCAGAGCGAGCTCAAAGACCGTGACAGGTGGCCTGGTCAGAACCAAGATTAGACTATTTGATTGAGGGAAAAATATAGACGAGAATAGTTATCTTTACTAAGCAGTTGAAACCGGTCATATGTAGCCTCTAGCTGTGCACTAGATTGTAGAAGACACTGAAAACAAGGTTTTGTTTATAGTTTTATTTGCCTCGATTCTTTTAATCCTAAAGCGTGCATGTTGATGGTGCAGTCAGTGCGCAATTGCTGGTAGGCTAAATATTAAAATCAGTTTAGTAAAGCAATCTAAATAGCTTATCTAATGAATAACGTTTACACACACACACACACACACACGTTTAAAATGAAGGATACCCAATATTTTCTTATATCTTTCAAAGTGGAGAAGATTTAACAAAACGGAATAGAAATGTAATTATTGATTTATACAAGGTTTTTATGGTAGACCTAATCATCTTTTCTATTAATCATTAGATTAATAAAGTCAGGATGTTTCAGAAGTGTGCCACTTTAGAAAAAAAAGAGAGACTGGGCAAACACCGAAACATGATCATCTAAATAAAATGTTGAACTAAGCAGTGATATACAGCACCTTTCTCTAGATGTAGGCCTACGCTATACAGCATTTGTGCAAACGTTTAGTATGAAAGAAAACCACAGCGCAGTTTTTAGTGTGAGACCCTTGACTCGAATCAAACGAGAGTTCCCTGGGCCAAGTCCGCACTACAGAAAATAAAAAGTCGCTTGGTAAACCATTCATTTTCAAACAAGCATAACCTTAATTTTATTTTTAGAATTAATGTAGGACTACGTATTTTGTATTTTTCTGCATATAGTAGATTCCTCTGTAATGAAAACTGCTGTAGGAATTAAATGAATTATAAAATAATTATTCTAAAACGTAGTCTATATCAAAATGTAAACAGTCTTCGAGTTGTGGTAAAACTATAATTTCATAGACCTACAAAATTATAAACGTTTGGTTGCATATTATCGTATGATTATGAAATCATCCTAGCCTAAATGCAAACCTGGTGCAGCAACGAAACAAACCGGACTACTTGTGTCCGGCTAAATAAACTGCATTTCAATCACCAGCTGTGCTTTATCCATTATTGATGCATGAATAAAGCTATTAATTCAGAGTAAATAATAATGAATTAGCAGTTTAAAATGATCATTAACGACAGCAAGATTGAACCAAGTTAATTAATCCTGAAATTCATTAGAAAATAAAAGTAGTAAACGAAGATCATTCTAATTCAAGATGTGATTGCTGAATGCCTATCAATGTAGAACTTGACGTTAATAACCATTAACTTTGAAAATATGAAAATACAAATGTACAAAAAGACCATAAAAACAGCCAATCGTCGTGGTCCTTTCTCATCCAAATATGAATTTATCGCATAGGCTACAGTCCTATTGAGCTACACGTGAAATTAAATTGATTTGCCAACCATAATTAAAATCGGGAACGAGGTTGAGGTTGGGTGAATAATAGCTAGCCTAATATTTGCAAGGAAAGGTTTGTTATAGGAGTATAACAAACCGGTGGGTGTACGCAGCATCAATTGTGATGAACATGGTAATATGGCAACATGATTAACACATTTTAGGTATAAGCGTTTGCACATTGCCTAATATTGTTAATATTCCTATCTCAAAGTTTGTTTCATGTATCATTACAATATTGTTAGCCTATCATGCCTGGATTTTTAGTGTCTCCCGCCCTACGGTGGCCATGTAGAGTATTTCACACCAATAGCCCTAAAATTGCAAAAGGCAAATATGCGCGTAATGTCCAATATTCCAGGAGTGTAAATCCCTCAGAGCCTCAGGGAAGAATTGGGCCTATAATATCCAAATACTCGAGCACTGTTGACCATTCTAAAACCATTTAGCTCCCAATTTTTGTTACTGGAAAATGTAAAATGTTGTTACTAAAAAGTTTGAAGGATTTCCAATTCAGATGATCACGAAGGTTTTTCATAACAGCCCTATTTCAGCTAATCAGCGGAATAAGATATGGGTTACTTTTTAGTTTTCACTATAGCCGGATACCATGTTGTTGATTATGAAATGATTAAAGACTTCAACACCCACCGTTCACATTCAATTAGTGCAAGAAGTCGTTTGACCCCATGACCTCGGGGAAATAAACCATGCAACAGAGGAAAACGGTCGGGACGCAGTAAACCATCCAAAATGACGACACATCAGCTGTCTTTACACAGTGAGCTGCTGCAGGGTATAACAAATGAAAACCCGATCGGGAGAAGTTCAACGCTATTATCTGTTTTCGACCTATGCCTTCAGATAACACAGCAGAATAGCCCACAAATACTATTTTGAGTTGACCATGGGAATTTTAGGGAACGTGGAAATAAAATCAGTTCATTTTCTGAATATTCCCGATTGGGAAGAAAATACAATTTAGCAAAAATATAGGCTAATGCATTTGAGATCACATAGCCTAATCACTTAGAAATTACTTCCCGCTGGACACGGACGTCAGTTAAATGTCTAGTTTTGATTTAGATTTGATTTAGTTGTCAACTAACGTGAATTCAACGTGAAATACATCAAACAATTTCACCATGTCATTGGATTTAGGTTAAAAGTTCGGTAAAAAAAAGAAAGACATTCCCTTACCTTGATGACTTTTTGCAAATTCAATCAGTTTTCCACGTTGATTCAATGTCATCGTTTTTTGGGGGGTTGAAATTATGTGGAAACAACGTTGATTCAACCAGTTTTTGCCCAGTGGGTTAGTTCAGGGTTATGTTATTTCAAGCTTCTGAGTAAATCAATTAATATATTACCAATAGGGCTATAGTACAAAAGTCAAACACAAATTCAAACATACATACAAAACCCTCAATGTTTGTTTTTAGTTTCATTGACTGACGTCAAATAAAATGTAATAATAATAATAATAATAATAATATGCCATTTAGCAGACGCTTTTATCCAAAGCGACTTACAGTCGTGCGTGCATACATTTTTGTGTATGGGTGGTCCCGGGGATCGAACCCACTACCTTGGCGTTACAAGCGCCGTGCTCTACCAGCTGAACTACAGAGATGATTAAATAGGCTACATTTCATAAACTTTGTATTTTGAAAGTGCATTTGCCTCCGTTACGTATTTCAATTTCAATTAAATAAATCTAACACTTCATAAAGTATCCGAGTCCGGCTACATGTGTTGCGAATGAAAGTGGCATATAGTCCAGTCAGAGTATTTCAGCGGCTTTGGAGGTGCAGGCTATTTTCCGAGTTTTGACCTATGCTCTGATGGAATATAGCCTCCATTGAGATACATGTACAGCTTTTCAGATGGGCAAATTGGGCATACACTCCATTTCACATTGTATTATACATATATATATGCCTATAAACCGGACATATTTCGGCCACATATGAAGTCTGGACAGAATATAAGACCGAGAGGAGATTCCGCCGAGGTAGGCAAAAAAATCGAAAGGCCTATATATTTTAAATAAATCAAGTCAACCTGCGTTTTTATGTGTACACAAGTATGTTCGATTCCATTAGGCCTACATTTATATTCAAATTACCTTATAAAATATATGATACGTTTTATTGCCTACTGAAAGATCCTGGATGTTAATATTCCATAAAAACAGCATATCATACTGTATGTCTTAAAAGTAGACTCAGCGATATGATGGAGATCAGGTTTCCTCAACTAGCGGGCCACGTGCTGAAACACCAGGAAATCAGATCCAATGGATTTTAATTTTGGAAATCTGTTCCCAAGTATTCCAATGCACAATAGAGACATATACACATGTAAGCAAGGTTTGAAATAATTGTTTTAGTCACATTTTCACACCCCTTGACTTTTTCCACGTTTGTTGTGTTACAACCTGAATTTAAAATGGATTAAATTGAGATTTTGTTGTCACTGGCCTAGACACAATACCCCAAAATGTCAGTGGAATTTTTATTTTATTTTTTACAAATTAAAAAAAAAAAAAAAGCTGAAATGTCTTGAGACAATAAGTATTCTACCCCTTTGTTCATGTCTACACTTGACACTTACATGCGAATTCGGCTATCCGAATACGAAGATCGCATTGAAAAGATGTGTCGAGATGCAAGTAAACGTCATAGTGGGTAAATTTCCGCAACAACTAAGATCGTTGAAGCGCGAGGCTCAACTTCTCCGCTGTTTTGGTCCCGTGGCTACCATGCTGTAACAGCGTGAAGCAAATCTTTGCACATGCGCAGATACTGTGTGTGAGAACGAAGTGTTGCATCTTGCTCATCTCAATATTTGCGGTGCTGCTCGTGGCAACGTCATTTCGCTGAGTCTACACTTAAATTGAATTTGGTAGTCTATAGTCCTTACTCATTGTAGGCTATTATTGGCTCATATGAATAGGCTATATTTTCAGTCTGCTGCTTATGCCACTGCAAATACTAAATGGGAAATAAACTGCAGTTGGATGTGATCTGACTAGTCAGTTCCCAGGTAAATATGGATCTGGAAACTACATTGAGTCCAGCTCCCACAGATGATCCGCTCCATCACCAGCATGGTGGGAGAAAAGAGGGTGAAAATGTTATCCTAAGCAGTCTGGATCCCAGGTTAGTCTATCCAAGTATCACAGTGAGGCTGAGCTCTTCTCTATGTTCCATCTCCATCTGTATACAAGAGCCCAGAACTGAACAGGCAGAATGCCTACTATTGACAGGGCATTTGCCTACTCAATACTCACTGCCCACAGACTGTGTCTGATGACATACGTTTCTGTTTATTGTGTTAGAGCTTGAGTCCCCTCATTGGACTTTCCACAGAAAACCCATAGCATATCCTATACATATATTTATTGTTTAAATAAAAAAGAGATTGCCAGCAATTTGAAGCAAGTCATAGAGCCGAATAAATGACAACAACATACGTAACTCAAGCACATGTAGTCAAGCACCATTAGAATCTTCCAGTCCCCATACACAACAGAGAGTGCCAGTCTCTACTTTTTTAAACAGCATAACAAGTCGTCCCCCCACCACTTTCAGCAAAAGCCTACTCTGTGGCGGACCTCCTTGAGGATGGGTGCAGCCAGTTCCCTGGTCCTGTGGGCTCCCTGGGCCAGCAGCCTCTCCAGGTGCCCCCTGTCCCCCCTCAGCCTCTCAATCTCCTCCCTGATCGGTGTGAGCCGCTGCACCACAGCCTCCGCGACCAGTTTGTACTTCCCTGTGTCCAGCCCCTTGGCCTGTCCCACCGTCTCCTCCGCGTGCATCAGCACCAGGTTGGACACACCCGGACAAGCCTCAGGGTCAAAGGTCACCTTGGAGGTGAAGTCTGTGATGGTGCGGCAGATTCTTTTGAGGACGATGTCGTCGGGCGAGTCAGTGAGGTTGACGGTGGCCATCTTCTGAGGGTCTGACTTAGACATCTTGGAGGAGGGGTCGCGGAGGGATTTGACCTTCCGTGTGGAGCCTGATTGGGATGAAAAGAGAATAGGCCTTGTTAAGGCTGGGTTGCGTTTGTCAGCAATATGGCTATAGCCTCTGTTATTAAGGTGAATGTATGCATGGGATATCATTACATCAGTTAATCATATCCTGATAAGAAGAACCAGGTCCTGGCAGTATGCTGTCAGCAGAGAAGTCAGGGGTGCATGGGGGGTGGCACTAGAGGATGAAGGGGGAAGGGAGGGGGGTCTCTTTCCTGATGAGCTCTTTGTTTCAGGGTGATTTAAGAGGACATCTTTGATTGGGTTTCAAAGAGGCGGCTGATGATTGGCAGATCTGTCAGAAGCTGCTGCTCTGGTGTCTCTTTCCCACAAAACGTCCATCGGTAAGTAGCCAAACACAACACAAGAAGACAGCATCAACCAGCCTGAGCCAACCACTGTCCCTAACCCGCCCCTGTAATACACACACACTTTTATCTATCCATCTCAACACGCACACATCTCTGAAGTCATCTTGAGGACATACCCCTCCCGCCTCCCCAAATCTATTATCACTTTATTTCTCAGATATATGAGGAAGGGAACAGTCCTTTAATCAAAGCTCCATTGCACGCATGGTTGGTTACATCTTGTGCTTTCATGATGGCAATAATGAAGGAGTATAAAACGGAGTATGTCAGAATGGGGTTAAGTATCCATCAGTAGAACATGCTGGCCATGTGTCTTTGTGCATGTGCATCTGGACATAGGTGTATGTATCCATATGGGTATATCTATGTGTATGAGAGAGAGAGAGAAAGTGAGAGAAAGCGAGTGAGAGATGGATTTTGAGTATGTTTACGTACAGTGGTGAAAAAAAGTATTTAGTCAGCCACCAATTGTGCAAGTTCTCCCACTTAAAAAGATGAGAGAGGCCTGTAATTTTCATCATAGGTACACGTCAACTATGACAGACAAATGAGAGAAAAGAATCCAGAAAATCACATTGTAGGATTTTTTATGAATTTATTTGCAAATTATGGTGGAAAATAAGTATTTGGTCACCTACAAACAAGCAAGATTTCTGGCTCTCACAGACCTGTAACTTCTTCTTTAAGAGGCTCCTCTGTCCTCCACTCGTTACCTGTATTAATGGCACCTGTTTGAACTTGTTATCAGTATAAAAGACACCTGTCCACAACCTCAAACAGTCACACTCCAAACTCCACTATGGCCAAGACCAAAGAGCTGTCAAAGGACACCAGAAACACAATTGTAGACCTGCACCAGGCTGGGAAGACTGAATCTGCAATAGGTAAGCAGCTTGGTTTGAAGAAATCAACTGTGGGAGCAATTATTAGGAAATGGAAGACATATAAGACCACTGATAATCTCCCTCGATCTGGGGCTCCACGCAAAATCTCACCCCGTGGGGTCAAAATGATCACAAGAACGGTGAGCAAAAATCCCAGAACCACACGGGGGGACCTAGTGAATGACCTGCAGAGAGCTTGGACCAAAGTAACAAAGCCTACCATCAGTAACACACTACGCCGCCAGGGACTCAAATCCTGCAGTGCCAGACGTGTCCCCCTGCTTAAGCCAGTACATGTCCAGGCCCGTCTGAAGTGTGCTAGAGTGCATTTGGATGATCCAGAAGAGGATTGGGAGAATGTCATATGGTCAGATGAAACCAAAATATAACTTTTTGGTAAAAACTCAACTCATCGTGTTTGGAGGACAAAGAATGCTGAGTTGCATCCAAAGAACACCATACCTACTGTGAAGCATGGGGGTGGAAACATCATGCTTTGGGGCTGTTTTTCTGCAAAGGGACCAGGACGACTGATCCGTGTAAAGGAAAGATTGAATGGGGCAATGTATCGTGAGATTTTGAGTGAAAACCTCCTTCCATCAGCAAGGGCATTGAAGATGAAACGTGGCTGGGTCTTTCAGCATGATAATGATCCCAAACACACCGCCCGGGCAACGAAGGAGTGGCTTCGTAAGAAGCATTTCAAGGTCCTGGAGTGGCCTAGCCAGTCTCCAGATCTCAACCCCATAGAAAATCTTTGGAGGGAGTTGAAAGTCTGTGTTGCCCAGCGACAGCCCCAAAACATCACTGCTCTAGAGGAGATCTGCATGGAGGAATGGGCCAAAATACCAGCAACAATGTGTGAAAACCTTGTGAAGACTTACAGAAAACGTTTGACCTGTGTCATTGCTAACAAAGGGTATATAACAAAGTATTGAGAAACTTTTGTTATTGACCAAATACTTATTTTCCACCATAATTTGCAAATAAATTAATTAAAAATCCTACAATGTGATTTTCTGGATTTTTTTCTCTCATTTTGTCTGTCATAGTTGACGTGTACCTATGATGAAAATTACAGGCCTCTCTCATCTTTTTAAGTGGGGGAACTTGCACAATTGGTGGCTGACTAAATACTTTTTCCCCACTGTATGTATGAGTGCGTGTGTAAGAGGAAATGTACTACACTGCCTGCAATCATAGATGTAACCCCTGTGTGGTGCACAGTAACTTACTGAGCAGAGCGGGTGGCTCAGGGAATAAGTCTCCGTATGTGTTGTTGAAGATGCGGGCTAGGTCCTGAGCCAACTCCAGATGTTGGACCTGATCTCATCCTACAGGGACTTGAGTGGACCTGTAACAACATAGAACATAGAAAACCTCACACTCAGTGAATTTACTTTATTAAATTAAATGTATTTGCTGCAGCACACCCACACTTAATAGAGACTGATCTCACTTGTAGAGGATACTATCTGCAGCCTGCAAGTGTACAGCCCCACACGCCCCTCATTCTTCTGTTTACTTTTCATCTGGAGAGAGAGAGTAAGAGAAATAGGGGAGAGAGGTGTAGCAAGAAGAAAGAGAAAGAAACATTACAAGGAGAGAGAAAAATAGAAAATGAAAGACAAAGAAAAAGATAACAGGTTAGCTTCTCTTTAAGGCGGCATGTTCTCTTTATGAGTGAAGAGCACTCGCTCATACAAACTCAACATGGCTGAATCACAGGACATTTTCCACCATGTTTGACGTGAAGTCAGCTGTTGAGTAAACAAAATGTCAGAAGCTGTTTTCAGTGTAGAACCAGAACACTGCTGGCCGTCCTTTCCTTCCCTCTGGCCTCCTAGTAAAACTGCATGTGGCCAGGGAAATCACTGTCATTATGAGAACATTCAAACAGATCTGGCAGGTGAGGTGCTGCTACGAGAAACAAACAGGACTAACAATAGTCAGGATGTTGAACATGAGAAAGGAAATGGAGGAAGATGGAAGGATACCGTTGAACTTTCCACCATTTGTAACTTGACTAACAATAATTTTACTGATCATCAACTCAATTGTGCAGCCATTGATATTAATGCATAATTTACACAAAAAGTCAGGATTGTGTCACTGCATTTCAAATCCCACAGCATTCCCAAGCTGTTATGTACCTTCCACTGAGGCAGGTGTCTGAGTCGGGTCATACTGATGAAGCAGCCCAGGACCCAGGACAGTTCAGCATGTTCAGAGACCTGTAGAAGGGAGGGAGAGACACCACAACCAGTCACTCAACATGGTCCAAGCCTAAATATTATTATTGTCTTTAAACTAAGCCCACCTGTAAAATTAAAAAAGTATCTTCTCCACCACCACCTTTCAGATCCTCTGGGGACTGGTGGGGGGACTCCTCAGCGCCACCATGTGCACTAACAGCCAGGTGCTCTGTTGCCCAGATGCATAGCCAATAGCCATACTCCATTATACTATATCAGTAGCAAGGCATTAGAGCCATTAAATAACTCCAATCTCCTGGACATTAGCAGGGCTGGTTTTAACAACTCCCTCTCTGCATCACGCTACAACCATCCCATGCTTCTCTCTCTCTCTCAACATGGGTCTCTCTAAAACCTATGGGCCTTGCCAACAACTCTCATTGGTGGAAAAAAAAGGCGCAAAATCCTTCTGCTTCAGAGACTTAAAAGTTTATGGGCGCTGGCGAAGTGGCTGCCATCCCTCTCCGCTTAAAATGGATTCTAAAGAGTGTGACATAAACTAAGATTTTACTGTAGCTAGAGAGGGGGGATTTGTTACAGACAGACGATGGAAGTGAAATAGGACAGATGTTGATGACAGCAGAGTGAGGAAGGAGACACTGATACGGATCTAGGTGCAATAAAATACATTTTAGAAGGTTCATAATGAACAACAACTCCATTCATATTGAATGTTATCTTCTTTCGTAGTATCTGAAACAAAGACACTACTAGTCATGTTATGGATTATGTGATTATAGGATGACTCTGACAGAGTTAGTCATTACAGAGTAGATCAACATCTTTTATTTCATTAGGGACAGAGCCAAGATATTCCTATAAACCTCAGAGCTTCGTGGATCTGCTGCTGTTATTGCAATAAGAAATGGTGTAACTCAGTGGCGGTCGGTGCCGTTTTAAGATTAGGGAGGGCAGTTTTTATTTTATTTTTTATGAGCATGGCCTTACTTCTATTACAGCATATTGGCATGACTGTCATTCATATTCCATTCACCTAGCTCAATGTAACGTCGATATGTTTAGGCTACTACATGATACTCGAATTTGACCTACAGTGAGGGAAAAAAGTATTTGTACGTTTGCCCACTGACAAAGAAATGATCAGTCTATAATTTTAATGGTAGGTTTATTTGAACAGTGAGAGACAGAATAACAACAACAAAAAATCCAGAAAAACGCATGTCAGAAATGTTATAAATTGATTTGCATTTTAAATGAGGGAAATAAGTATTTGACCCCCTCTCAATCAGACAGATTTCTGGCTCCCAGGTGTCTTTTATATAGGTAACGAGCTGAGATTAGGAGCACACTCTTAAAGGGAGTGCTCCTAATCTCAGCTTGTTACCTGTATAAAAGACACCTGTCCACAGAAGCAATCAATCAATCAGATTCCAAACTCTCCACCATGGCCAAGACCAAAGAGCTCTCGAAGGATGTCAGGGACAAGATTCTACACAAGGCTGGAATGGGCTACAATACCATTACCAAGCAGCTTGGTGAGAAGGTGAAAACAGTTGGTGCGATTATTCGCAAATGGAAGAAACACAAAAGACCTGTCAATCTCCCTCGGCCTAGGGCTCCATGCAAGATCTCACCTCGTGGAGTTGCAATGATCATGAGAACGGTGAGGAATCAGCCCAGAACTACACAGGAGGATCTTGTCAATGATCTCAAGGCAGCTGAGACCATAGTCACCAAGAAAACAATTGGTAACACACTACGCCGTGAAGGACTGAAATCCTGCAGCGCCCGCAAGGTCCCCCTGCTCAAGAAAGCACATATACAGGGCCGCCTGAAGTTTGCCAATGAACATCTGAATGATTCAGAGGAGAACTGGGTGAAAGTGTTGTGGTCAGATGAGAGCAAAATCGAGCTCTTTGGCATCAACTCAACTCGCCGTGTTTGGAGGAGGAGGAATGCTGCCTATGACCCCAAGAACACCATTCCCCCGTCAAACATGGAGGCGGAAACATTATGCTTTGGGGGTGTTTTTCTGCTAAGGGGACAGGACAACTTCACCGCATCAAAGGGACGATGGACGGGGCCATGTACCGTCAAATCTTGGGTGAGAACCTCCTTCCCTCAGCCAGGGCATTGAAAATGGGTCGTGGATGGGTATTCCAGCATGACAATGACCCAAAACACATTAAGGTCCTGGAGTGGCCTAGCCAGTCTCCAGACCTTAATCCCATAGAAAATCTGTGGAGGGAGCTGAAGGTTTGATTTGTCAAATGTCTGCCTCGAAACCTTAATGACTTGGAGAAGATCTGCAAAGAGGAGTGGGACAAAATCCCTCCTGAGATGTGTGCAAACCTGGTGGCCAACTACAAGAAACGTCTGACCTCTGTGATTGCCAACAAGGCTTTTGCCACCAAGTACTAAGTAATGTTTTGCAGAGGGGTCAAATACTTATTTCCCTCATTAAAATGCAAATCAATTGATAACATTTTTGACATGCGTTTTTCTGGATTTATTTGTTGTTATTCTGTCTCTCACTGTTCAAATAAACCTACCATTAAAATGATAGACTGATCATTTCTTTGTCAGTGGGCAAACGTACAAAATCAGCAGGGGATCGTATACTTTTTTCCCCTCACTGTATACCCATCATGAGGTTGCTACAACCTAGCCTACAAATGAAAGTTTATAACATAGGTGCACAGAACGAGAGACAAATTGGAGTAATCAAGGTGACAGACAGTGGCTGTGTCCGAATACCAATACTTGCGTCCTGAATAGTAGGCTGTTTGAGTATTCGAAAAAATTATTTTTTATAGTATGTGACATTTTGAAAATCGAGTATACTTTAAATGCCCGGATGTCCTACTCATTTCGGCTTTGATAACAGCTGATAATCAGCTGTCAATTAGATATGGGGATGCGCTACCGAAATGAACCAAAAGCGGGAAACAACGCAATCACGCATGACTCATTCTCAGTATGTGAAAATAACGTTTTATAGTATGTAATTTTTATTGAGAAAAAAATAGAGTATGCTGTAAATGCCAGGATGTTATACTCATTTTGGCTTTGTAGCTGCCTGCTGTGCCTTTAACTAGCTATGTGCTTTAGTAGCTAGCTAGGACAAGAAGTTATAAGTGTTCGAACAGTAACGTTAGCTAGCTACGTGGTTACTTGCTGTTGAGCGTCAACTTCATATTTAACGTTAGCCTAGCTAGCTAGTTTCATTGCATATATAGGTGTAATCATTACCCCAAACAGTTGCAAAATGTTCTGTTTTGCAATGAAAACAAGTTTTTCTATTGGACAGATTCAGGCAGGTTCCCTCCCTGTTTGCTGAACCTGTCCAATAGAAAAACGCTAGTTTTTGTTGCAAAACGTTTTGCAACTGTTTGGAGTACACACCCGTTAAGGTAAAGTAATGGTAGGCTGCACTCGTTACTGTTTCACCTTGGCAGGCCAATTTTATAAAGTATGTGACCATCTAGCTACATAAAGTTCAAACAACTCTACTTTACTCATGTTTTGGTTAATGTTGTACTTAATCTAATGTCTTTGCAGGATCTACATAAAATGAGTGTGTGCTGGAAGGGCAGCTGTCACCTGCATGGGTGAAAAATAAGTGGGAGAACCTTAGGCTTAAGCACAAATAAACAGCAGATGTGGGCTCCTCGCTCTCCCAAAAGGGTCCAGATGGGGAGGTGGGAGAAGGAGGTGACTGCCTGTGAGGCACGCCTTATGGCCATTTTAGAGGCCATGGTTAAGAAGTAGTTTTATGTATTTTGTTTGCATTTTATTTATAGCTATTAATGCATTCATTTTCTACTGTTTTTGATGAAGTTATTTTTTTCAACCCAAAGTGGATTTCTGTCCTCATTGAAAAGTGTTTCTTGTTTGTAATAAAAAATGTATTTGATACCGGTACATTTACTGTTGGTGTGTTTTACTTTCAACATGAAAAATGCACTCGCACATCTGAGCTATCTTGTTGCAGGTGCATGGTAACAATTAGAGAAGTTCAAAGCCGCGAGCTGCCCAGTGACACGAGCCTACCAGACAGGCTAAATGCCTTTTATGCTCGCTTCGAGGCAAGCAAAACTGAAGCATGCATGAGAGCACCAGCTGTTCCGGACGACTGTGTGATCACGCTCTCCGTAGCCGATGTGAGCAAGACCTTTAAACAGGTCAACATTCACAAGGCCGCGGGATCAGACGTACCAGGACGTGTAGTCAGAGCATGAGCGGACCAACTGGCAAGTGTTTTCACTGACATTTTCAACCTCTCCCTGACCGAGTCTGTAATACCTACATGTTTCAAGCAGACCACCATAGTGCCTGTGCCCAAGAAAGCGAAGATAACCTGCCTAAATTACTACCGCCCCATAGCACTCACATCAGTAGCCATGAAGTGCTTTGAAAGGCTGGTTATGGCTCACATCAATACCATCACCCCGGAAACCCTAGACCCACTACAATTCGCATAACGCCCCAACAGATCCACAGATTACGCAATCTCAATCGCCCTTTCCCACCTGGAGAAAAGGAACACCTACAGTGAGGGAAAAAAGTATTTGATCCCCTGCTGATTTTGTACGTTTGCCCACTGACAAAGAAATGATCAGTGTATAATTTTAATGGTAGGTTTATTTGAACAGTGAGAGGCAGAATAACAACAAAAAACTCCAGAAAACCGCATGTCAAAAATGTTATAAATTGATTTGCATTTTAATGACGGAAATAAGTATTTGACCCCGTCTCAATCAGAAAGATTTTTGGCTCCCAGGTGTCTTTTATACAGGTAACGAGCTGAGATTAGGAGCACACTCTTAAAGGGAGTGCTCCTAATCTCAGTTTGTTACCTGTATAAAAGACACCTGTCCACAGAAGCATTCAATCAATCAGATTCCAAACTCTCCACCATGGCCAAGATCAAAGAGCTCTCCAAGGTTGTCAGGGACAATATTCTAGACCTACACAAGGCTGGAATGGGCTACAAGACCATCGCCAAGCAGCTTGGTGAGAAGGTGACAACAGTTGGTGCGATTATTCGCAAATGGAAGAAACACAAAAGAACTGTCAATCTCCCTCGGCCTGGGGCTCCATGCAAGATCTCACCTCGTGGAGTTGCAATGATCATGAGAACGGTGATGAATCAGCCCAAAACTACACGGGAGGATCTTGTCAATGATCTCAAGGCAGCTGGGACCATAGTCACCAAGAAAACAATTGGTAACACACTACGCCGTGAAGGACTGAAATCCTGCACCGCCTGCAAGGTCCCCCTGCTCAAGAAAGCACATATACAGGCCCGTCTGAAGTTTGCCAATGAACATCTGAATGATTCAGAGGAGAACTGGGTGAAAGTGTTGTGGTCAGATGAGACCAAAATCGAGCTCTTTGCCATCAACTCAACTCGCTGTCTTTGGAGGAGGAGGAATGCTGCCTATGACCCCAAGAACACCATCCCCACCGTCAAACATGGAGGTGGAAACATTATGCTTTGGGGTTGTTTTTCTGCTAAGGGGACAGGACAACTTCACCGCATCAACGGGACGATGGATGGGGCCATGTACCGTCAAATCTTGGGTGAGAACCTCCTTCCCTCAGCCAAGGCATTGAAAATGGGTCGTGGATGGGTATTCCAGCATGACAATGACCCAAAACACACGGCCAAGGCAACAAAGGAGTGGCTCAAGAAGAAGCACATTAAGGTCCTGGAGTGGCCTAGCCAGTCTCCAGACCTTAATCCCATAGAAAATCTGTGGAGGGAGCTGAAGGTTCGAGATGCCAAACGTCAGCCTCGAAACCTTAATGACTTGGAGAAGATCTGCAAAGAGGAGTGGGACAAAATCCCTCCTGAGATGTGTGCAAACCTGGTGGCCAACTACAAGAAACGTCTGACCTCTGTGATTGCCAACAAGGCTTTTGCCACCAAGTACTAAGTCATGTTTTGCAGGGGGGTCAAATACTTATTTCCCTCATTAAAATCAATTTATAACATTTTTGACATGCGTTTTTCTGGATTTTTTTGTTGTTTTTCTGTCTCTCACTGTTCAAATAAACCTACCATTAAAATTATAGACTGATCATGTCTTTGTCAATGGGCAAACGTACAAAATCAGCAGGGGATCAAATACTTTTTTCCCCTCACTGTATGTGAAAATGCTGTTCATTGACTACAGCTCAGCGTTCAACACCATAGTGCCCACAAAGCTCATCACTAAGCTAAGGACCCTGGGACTAAACACCTCCCTCTGCAACTGGAGCCTGGACTTCCTGACGGGCCACCCCCAGGAGGAAAGGGTAGGCAACAACACAACACAGGGGCCCATCAGGGGTGCGTCCTTAGTCCCCTCCTGTAATCCCTGTTCACCCACGACTGCGTGGCCAAGCACAACTCCAACACCATTATTAAGTTTGTTGACGACACAACAGTGGTAGGCTTGATCACCGACAACGATGAGACAGCCTATAGGGAGGAGGTCAGAGACCTGGTAGTGTGGTGCCTGGACAACAACCTCTACCTCAACGTGAGCAAGACAAAGGAGATGATCGTGGACTACAGGAAAAGGAGGGCCGAACACGCCCCCATTCACATCGACAGGGCTGTAGTGGAGCGGGTCGTGAGTTTCAAGTTCCTTGGTATCCACATCGCCAACAAACTATCATGGTCCAAACACACCAAGAAAGTTGTGAAGAGGGCACGACAACACCTTTCTCCCACAGGAGACGGAAAAGATTTGGCATGGGTCCCCAGATACTCAAAAAGTTCTACAGCTGCACCATCGAGAGCATCCTGACCGGTTGCATCACCGCCTGGTATGGCAACTGCTCGGCATCCAACTGTAAGGCGCCACAGAGGGTAGTGCGTACAGCCCAGTACATCACTGGGGCCAAGCTTCCTACCATCCAGGACCTATATAGCAGGCGGTGTCAGAGGAAGGCCCAAAAAATTGTCAAAGACTTCAGCCACCCAAGTCATACACTGTTCTCCCTGCTACCGCACGGCAAGCGGTACCGGAGCGCCAAGTCTAGATCCAAAAGGCTCTTTAACAGCTTCTACCTCCAAGCCATAAGACTGCTGAACAATTATTTAAATGATCACCCAGACTATTTTCATTGACACACCCCCCCTTTTTTTTACACTGCTGCTACTCGCAGTTTATTATCTATGCATAGTCATGTTACCCTTACCTACATGTACAAATTATCCCGACTAACCTGCACATTGACTCGGTACCAGTACCCCCTGTATATAGCCTGATTATTGTTATTTTATTGTGTTACTTATTTTTTATTTATATATGTTTTAATTTTTTTTACTGTAGTTTATTTAGTAAATATTTTCTTAACTCTATTTTCTTAAAACTGCATTGTTAATTAAGGGCTTGTAAGTAAGCATTTCACGGTAAGGTCTACACCTGTTGTATTCAGCGCATTTGACAAATAACATTTGATTTGATTTTGAGTATACATATCTGTGCATATTACAGTGAGGGAAAAAAGTATTTGATCCCCTGCTGATTTTGTACGTTTGCCCACTGACAAAGAAATGATCAGTCTATAATTTTAATGGTAGGTTTATTTGAACAGTGAGAGACAGAATAACAACAAAAAAATCCAGAAAAACTCTTAAAGGGAGTGCTCCTAATCTCAGCTTGTTACCTGTATAAAAGACACCTGTCCACAGAAGCAATCAATCAATCAGATTCCAAACTCTCCACCATGGCCAAGACCAAAGAGCTCTCCAAGTATGTCAGGGACAAGATTGTAGACCTACACAAGGCTGGGATGGGCTACAAGACCATCGCCAAGCAGCTTGGTGAGAAGGTGACAACAGTTGGTGCGATTATTCGCAAATGGAAGAAACACAAAAGAACTGTCAATCTCCCTCGGCCTGGGGCTCCATGCAAGATCTCACCTCGTGGAGTTGCAGTGATCATGAGAATGGTGAGGAATCAGCCCAGAACTACACGGGAGGATCTTGTCAATGATCTCAAGGCAGCTGGGACCATAGTCACCAAGAAAACAATTGGTAACACACTACGCCGTGAAGGACTGAAATCCTTCAGCGGCGCAACGTCCCCCTGCTCAAGAAAGCACATATACAGGGCCGACTGAAGTTTGCCAATGAACATCTGAATGATTCAGAGGAGAACTGGGTGAAAGTGTTGTGGTCAGATGAGACCAATATCGAGCTCTTTGGCATCAACTCAACTCGCCGTGTTTGGAGGAGGAGGAATGCTGCCTATGACCCCAAGAACACCATCCCCACCGTCAAACATGGAGGTGGAAACATTATGCTTTGGGGGTGTTTTTCTGCTAAGGGGACAGGACAACTTCACCGCATCAAAGGGATGATGGACGGGGCCATGTACCGTCAAATCTTGGGTGAGAACCTCCTTCCCTCAGCCACGGCATTGAAAATGGGTCGTGGATGGGTATTCCAGCATGACAATGACCCAAAACACACGGCCAAGGCAACAAAGGAGTGGCTCAAGAAGAAGCACATTAAGGTCCTGGAGTGGTTTAGCTAGTCTCCAGACCTTAATCCCATAGAAAATCTGTGGAGGGAGCTGAAGGTTCGAGTTGCCAAACGTCAGCCTCAAAACCTTAATGACTTGGAGAAGATCTGCAAAGAGGAGTGGAACAAAATCCCTCCTGAGATGTGTGCAAACCTGGTGGCCAACTACAAGAAACGTCTGACCTCTGTGATTGCCAACAAGGGTTTTGCCACCAAGTACTAAGTAATGTTTTGCAGAGGGGTCAAATACTTATTTCCCTCATTAAAATGCAAATCAATTTATAACATTTTTGACATGCGTTTTTCTGGATTTTTTTGTTGTTATTCTGGTCTCTCACTGTTAAAATAAACCTACCATTAAAATGATAGACTGATCATGTCTTTGTCAGTGGACAAACGTACAAAATCAGCAGGGGATCAAATACTTTTTTCCCCTCACTGTATGTGTGAGTAAGAAAATGATGGAGTGAGTGTTTGTATGTGTGTTGGAGTGACAGTGTGTGTGAGGGTGAAGGGCCCTGTGAGTAAGCATAGAGACAGTGCAAATATTGAAATAAAAGGTCAATAAAGATGCTAGGTTAACTCAGATAGTCCGTATAGCTATTTTGTTAGCTATTTATCAGTCATATTGCTTGGGGATAAAAGCTGTTCAAGAGCCTGTTGCTGTCAGACTTGATGCACCGGTACCTCTTGCCTGCATCTAGCTGATCTGGGGTGTAATCATTAGTCCAAAATGAGTTTCTTTTGGACAAATTCAGGTAGGTCCATCCAGAATCGGCAGAATGAATACACTCTTGATCACCCGCCACACACAGTTCACTTTCATAGCAGCCACATACAGCATTATCACTTTGCTCGTTGTATAATTTCTTCTCGCATCTGCACGCTCTCCTCCTCTCACCTTTTCCCTTTGCTTGTGGACTTCAGTGAACAACACAACAGCTATCTGTGACCAGGCACAGAAACCTCTCCAAGCCAAACCTTCAAACCTTACACTTCTACATCGTTGTAACCATATTAGCGAACGTCATGGTCAACAAACTAGAACTAACGCTTTAGTAAACCCACAACCCAATCCATGTGTACAATTACACCGGTGGGCCCCGGTGGCAATAAATGAATAAACCCAAAAGCTTACCTTGACTTGGAAGAGATGCAGTGTTGGATGGCCTTAGCCAGCTAGCTAAAATAAATAGCATTCCTCTCTGTTTGAGTCAGGTTGTTGAGTAGGCTAAATCAGCTGCATTAGCTAAGCAAGTGAAAGGTAAACTAAGAAGAAGAAAAAAATACAACGAAATATAGCTAGCTTTTTCTCCCTCTCTGCTACTTCTCCATTTAAGAAATACATTTGTTCAAAACTGTTAAGCTATTGTCTTTCTCTCTCTTTGAGTCAACTACTTACCACATGTTATGCACTGCAGTGCTAGCTAGCTGCAGCTTATGCTTTCAGTACAATATTCATTCTCTGATCCTTTGATTGGATGGACAACTTGTCAGTTCATGCTGCATGAGCTCTGATGGGTTGGAGGGCGTCCTCCGGAAGTCGTCATAATTACTGTGTAAGTCTATGGAAGCGGGTGAGAACCATGAGCCTCCTAGGTTTTGTATTGAAGTCAATGCACCCAGAGGACGGAAAATAGCTGTCCTCTGGCTACACCATGGTGCTACCCTACAGAGTGCTGTTGAGGCTACTGTACAGTCGTGATCAAAAGTTTTGAGAATGACACAAGTATTGGTCTTCACAAAGTTCGCTGCTTCAGTGTTATGAGATATTTTTGTCAGATGTTACTATGGTATACTGAAGTATAATTACAAGCATTCCATAAGTGTCAAAGGCTTTTATTGACAATGACATTAAGTTTATGCAAAGAGTCAATATTTGCAGTGTTGACCCTTCTTTTTCAAGACCTCTGCAATCCGCCCTGGCATGCTGTCAATTAACTTCTGGGCCACATCCTGACTGATGGCAGCCCATTTTTGCATAATCAATGCTTGGAGTTTGTGGGTTTTTGTTTGTCCACCCGCCTCTTGAGGATCGACCACAAGTTCTCAATGGGATTAAGGTCTGGGGAGTTTCCTGGCCATGGACCCAAAATTTCAATGTTTTGTTCCCCGAGCCATTTAGTTATCACTTTTGCCTTATGGCAAGGTGCTCAATCATGCTGGAAAAGGCATTGGTCGTCACCAAACTGTTCTTGGATGGTTGGGAGAAGTTGCTCTCGGAAGATGTGTTGGTACCATTCTTTATTCATAGCTGTGTTCTTAGGCTAAATTGTGACTGAGCCCACTCCCTTGGCTGAGAAGCAACCCCACACATGAATGGTCTCAGGATGCTTTACTGTTGGCATGACACAGGACTGATGGTAGCGCTCACCTTCTCTTCTCTGGACAAGGTGTTTTCCGGATGCCCCAAACAATCGGAAAGGGGATTCATCAGAGAAAATGACTTTATCCCAGTCCTCAGCAGTCCAATCCCTGTACCTTTTGCAGAATATCAGTCAGTCCCTGATGTTTTTCCTGGAGATAAGTGGCTTCTTTGCTGCTCTTCTTGACACCAGGCCATCCTCCAAAAGTCTTCACCTCACTGTGCGTGCAGATGCACTCACACCTGCCTGCAGCCATTCCTGAGCAAGTTCTGCACTGGTGGTGCCCCGATCCCGCAGCTGAATCAACTTTAGGAGACGGTCCTGGCGCTTGCTGGACTCTCTTGGGCGCCCTGACGCCTTCTTCACAACAATTGAACCTCTCTCCTTGAAGTTCTTGATGATCCGATAAATGGTTGATTTAGGTGCAATCTTACTAGCAGCAATATCCTTGCCTGTTAAGCCCTTTTTGTGCAAAGCAATGATGACGGCACGTGTTTCCTTGCAGGTAACCATGGTTAACAGAGGAAGAACAATGATTTCAAGCACCACCCTCCTTTTAAAGCTTCCAGTTTGTTATTCTAACTCAATCAGCATGACAGAGTGATCTCCAGCCTTGTCCTCGTCAACAATCTCACCTGTGTTAACGAGAGAACCACTGACATGATGGAAGCTGGTCCTTTTGTGGCAGGGCTGAAATGCAGTGGAAATGTTTTTTGGGGATTAAGTTCATTTTCATGGCAAAGAGGGACTTTGCAATTAATTGCAATTCATCTGATCACTCTTCATGACATTCTGGAGTATATGCAAATTGCCATCATCAAAACTGAGGCAGCATACTTTGTGAAAATTCGTTTTTGTGTCATTCTCAAAACTTTTGACCACGACTGTAGACCTTCATTGCAAAACAGTGTGTTTTAATTAATTATTTGTTGACGTGTATATATTTAGTATAGTTTTATCTAAAAAGGATAACTTTAACGTTTCACTATTTAAATTTTTTATGAAATTCACTGAGTAGGATGGTCTTCCCGTTCCTCCTCTGAGGAGCTTCCACTGGTGTAACTTTACTTTGGTCTTTCTCTCGCACACACACAATATTTTCAAGCTGAAGGCCCTTCACTTAAGACACTATTGATTTCAACTGGTCACCATTTCTTCAATAAAGTCAAGTGTTTTCTTTGGGCGGTAGTGGTATTTGTACATGTGGAACAGACTCCGGTTAGTTTGTTCAATAGGAGATTCCCTTCGCTGCCAAGATATGTGGCATGAAGCTAAACGGGAATAAAAATAGGGCTCAGTGTGTGTGTGTGTGTGTGTGAGAAATATCACAGATGGACCACACTATCAAAACACTTATGGCACTTGCAGAGATAGTGTGACACACACATACAAACACACATTTTAGGTGTCAAGGGAGAAGAAAATGTCTATTCGGATTACACTTATTTTCCTAACTCAGGAGTTTACCCCCAAAAAATACTGATCTGTTGAAGTGGTGCATACAGTAAATCTATCGTTATCCCCTTCATGTGGCTTCCTCTGAAGTAAATGGTGGTTTGCCAATGTGTTTTCATAATCCCTGTGAATTTGCAGAGCAAACAGTGAAGATAAGGATCGGAGTGATAAAATAAGGGTTTTAAACTGCCTGCATTAGGTAACCATTCAGAGCTTGCCATGATAAAATAAACATTCCAATATGGCCGCCACTCCAGCTGACTCTCTTGATGACATGCTGGGAAACAGATCCAAGGCAGCCTGCTCAGACCGCGAAATCACAAACACACACTCAGCTTTTCCAACTGTTTGAAACACCACATTAGAAAATAGACTCAAACTCTTAATAGAGCAGTGATTATGTATGTGTATGTGTGTATGTGTATGTATGTAGGAGTGTGTGCCTGCCTGCATGTGTGTCTGACTAACCTGTGACTGTATTGGAAGAGGATTATTGTCTCTGGGTCGATGCCACAGGCCAGCAGCCATGTCCAGTATGTTGACCCGCAGCAGGGCGGGGTCCTGGGACTGGGTGATGGAGTGCAGGTCCACTATGCTGTAGAGCACTGAGGGGTACTGGCTCTGCAGGGACACCCAGCTCTCCAGAGCCCCAAGGTAGTTCCCTAGGTGGGGCACACCCGTGGGCTAGATCCCAGAGGCTCCTGGGGAGAGAGGGTGGGAGAGGAGAGATGCTGCGAGAAATTAGATTTTTATCAATGAACTGTTGAGAAGCGGAAAGAGAAGAGTTTGAAAAGAGATGGAACTTGAGAGGGAGAGGCAAAGAGAGTAATAAAAGTAACAGACTTCAAGACAACGTCAGGAGAAAGAAAATAAGAAATTAAGGTGAAAAGGAGAGAAAGGAAAAGTGAAGTCACCTGCAGAGGTGTTTGTACGCAGCCAATTGGCAGATTGGGAGGCAGTGGTCATGGTTGCATTGCTGTTATGGAGATGCTTAATAAAATCCATAGCTAGCACCTCTGTAACACAGTCAGTGGGAGAACGCAACCCCCATCTGGCCAATGAAAATATAGAACACTCTCCAGCCAGCCAATGAGGCCAGAGCAACAACTACAAACGGCCAATGAAAGCAGGGCAGACTGGAAAATAAACCAATAAGAGTTATTTAAAAAAAAAGTGTAGGTTAAGGTATATAGTCAGATTAGAAATCAAGTGTGTGTGTGTGTGAGAGAGAGAGAGGGAGTCCATACTTGAGAGCACCATAAACCACAGATATCAGAAACAATAACACAAAGGCCTTATTTTAAAGCCCTGGTGCGGATTGAGGAATGGGCTCTTTTAGGGGTGTGAACTTTTTAAATTGGGATCTTTAACGTTAAGAAAAATCCCTAATTTATGTTTAATATTTTAAAAACAAAATTATAAATCACAGTGCAGGTAAAACAAAACATATTATTTTCCGAGTTATAGCCTAACTAGACGGTAGGCTATAAAGGCCTGGGGAAAGTTGTATAATTAAAATTAAATCAAGAGAAAGAGGCGAACTTTAGGCTACTTTGCGAGGCATGGCTGCCCTTGCTCTTCGCTAATGATGCGAGTGTATTCAGACTTCGGTCTGTTGTGTGTAGAATATCCTAGCCTATTCATTGATGACAGGCCCTGCTTTACTGAAGTTGTGAGACATTGCAAGCCAAGAAATTGCAAGATACAACATTCCATTGTAAAATACAGCTTTTGATTGCCGATAGATTCGCCTAGTGCACGGTTTTGACTCCGTCCGCCTGGTGACCGAACCTTTCTTTACTGTGCCCCTCCCCGTCCCTTGCTAGCTCACTATGAAAGATGCAAGTGTTTCTGTTCTCGGAAGTACAGCAACTAAATCAGTCTCCTCCGTTTCAAAAATACTGAATCTTAGGAGTCGATTCTTAGCGGAATTGAATCCTGACACCAGAGAGGAAGAGGTGAAGCGAGAGGTTTCACTCTCGCCAAAATCTGTCCAAAATAAGCCTTGTTTTGGACCTAAGCTTGTCGCCTGCCTTCCCGCTTTTGGGACAACTCCCATTGTTAGGGCGGAGACATGAGCATCTCGTCATCATATAAAGATATCTGTTGACACAGAAATGGCAGTGGACATGCAATTATTTTGGAGTCAACTCTCCACCACCACATCATCGTCAGTAACTTTTGAAAAATGCAAGCGACAGCACCTACATTTACATTTTAGTCATTTAGCAGATGCTCTTATCCAGAGCGACTTTACAGTTAGTGCATTTTTTTTTTTTTTTCATACTGGCCCCCCGTGGGAATCGAACCCACAACCCTGGCGTTGCAAGCGCCATGCTCTACCAACTGAGCTACACGGGGCCTAAGTCCTGTATGGTAATACTTTGAGAAGTTAAATGAGAAGGAAATGCAAACTTTACGAGGTGGAATTGGGGTACAGTAATGGTAGTACAGGTGCAATGCTTAACCATCTGAAAGGGACACACCGTGAGACCCAAACCATTAATGGCAGCAACATTGTGAATTCACATGGAAGTTTATGAATTTCTTATAGTTTTAATGGAAAAACGATATAAAAATGGTTGTTTAAACGTTACATTCCTATGCCCTTTCGACTCTAAAAGAGAGCGATCACTCTTCGCTTTCGGATCCGTGGGCAAATATTGTGTTTCTGGTTCTGCTGGGTTCTGTCAGGCTCAGGTCTGGCATTGGCCTACTCCATTGAGCCTTGGCATCGATAAAGTCTACTGATTCTGGCCTTGGTCCATTCCTACTAGTCATGGCATTGTGCCCGGCCTGCACTAAAATACTGTGTTACTGAGGGGGCAAGGGGAGTGGCATGAAAGGGGACCTGGAACTTTACTTATGACTAGAGGTTTCTTGGCTAAATATATTAAACAGCAGCGCAAGGCTTCTGTTAAGCAGAAAAGCGTAAACAATCGTCAGTTGGAACCATTTTAGTACGTTAGAAGGGACTGTCAGCAATGCCTGTCTGAATATTTTCTCTAAAGCCAGTTATACACCGTGCTTGAAATTGTATCGACACACTACCCTCCACACCACAAGCAAAAACAGGTGTCATAAAATGCTGTAGAATTCGGGATACCTTGCAACCAGGTCTCTAAAGTGCGACTAAAGCATATGCTCCTAAATATTTTGCTGTGTGACCTGACATTTATTTTGGGAGCACCAGTGCGACTAGAAAAAAAAATCCACCCACATGCCGTGCGCCTCACAAATTTTGTAACAATGTGGAGGGCTCTGCATAGCTCCGCAATGACATGATTGGTTGATGGTAGGTGTGGGAGATACATCCTGTATAAACACAAACTAAATTCCTTGAAAACAAACATGGAGAACTTTGATGAAAGGCTATCAGAACAAGTTCACAAATAAAATGCATCTTTATGATACCTCGTGTAGAAATTTCAAAGACACGAAAATGAGTTTGAACTCCTGGAAAGAGATCGGGGAGATAATGGGGATAGATGTGGTAAAGAGATCAATGGAATGCAGACCGTGGTGGATTGAAGGATTGGCGCACATTCAACAAATATGATCTAACAAAGTGGATATTTGTAAAATCCGTTATGATTGATGCATGGTAACAGGCCCACAAATGTGGTTCCTAAAACCCGATTTGGATATATTTGGCTGTTTTCGCTGCATAACATTTAGAAGTCGTCCCTTTTCAGGTTTAGAAGAAGTGACTGCTAAATGCTAACTCCCGTTCGTATAAGCTGGTAGCATAGCTAGCATACAGAAATCGGTCGTTAGTCAGTCGTTTTTAACTGTAACGCAGATGATTGATGACCATGACATGAACAAGCATTGGGGTTGACATCCATACAAGCATTATACTCCGATTTGTTCCTCAACATAGTGTGAAATACACATATAAACAATATCCTAAATGTAGGCTAATTTTGCTGGGGGGCAATGGGGAGATTCAGGATGGAGATGCAGGTGGGAAAATGGTGCCGCCTTTTTACATCATGCTATCGTGGCTGAGCTCCTATGTCAAGCACCGGGAAACAGACTCCCCAACAACTCACAAGAGGTAAGGTCTTTTCATTTAGCCAGTTGCTCGTAATTAGCTGGATGGCTATAGAGATGAACCCTGAATCACTACGAGTGGTGCGGTGCAGACCAATTTATTGGATGCGTATGTCAGCTCCCCGAAGTGCAAAAAGTATGCATGCTCTGACTTCTGTGGAGGCCGCATCCACGCGAATGAAAACACGAAGCAGACCAAACTCTTTGGTCCTTTAAAAAAATAAAATAATGCTGTATGTAAAATAGTGTGCTATACAGTGCATTCGGAAAGTATTCAGACCCCTTGATTTTTTTCCACATTTTGTTACGTTACAGCCTTATTCTAAAATTGATTAAATAAAACATTTTCCTCAATCTACACACAATACCCCATAATGACTCTTTGCTATGAGACTCGAAATTGAGCTCAGGTGCATCCTGTCTCCATTGATCATCCTTGAGATGTTCCTACAACTTGGAGTCCACCTGTGGTAAATTAAATTGATTGGACATGATTTGGAAAGGCACACACCGGTCTATATAAGGTCCCACAGTTGACAGTGCATGTCAGAGCAAAAACCAATTCATGAGGTCAAAGGAATTGTCCGTAGAGCTCCAAGACAGGATTGTGTCGAGGCACAGATCTGGAGAACGGTACCAAAACATTTCTGCAGTCCCCAAGAACACAGTGGCCTCTATCATTCTTAAATGGAAGAAGTTTGGAACCACCAAGACTAGAGCTGGCTGCCTGGCCAAACTGTACAATCGGGGGAGAAGGGACTTGGTCAGGGAGGTGACCAAGAATCCTAAAATTATACGCAAAAATGTCTACAAAACTGTTACTGCTTTTGTCATTATAGGGTATTGTGTGTAGATAGATGAGAAAAAACAACAACAATTTATTCCATTTTAGAATAAGGCTGTAACCTAACAAAATGTGGAAAAAGTCAAGGGGTCTGAATACTTTCCGAATGCACTGTATTTCCAGGGGTCAAAAAATTCCAAATCAATTGCTAAATGATCCTTGTTATGATCATCTTAAAAACAATTCCATTTGTTAGCTTAGTAGAAACCCAACCCCCGGGCCCTTAGACCTTAGTTTTTTTTAAACTACTACTAGTTTGATGGTTGTATCCATCAATTGTCCCATTAACAATCACCCATATTAGCAAACTTATTCCATTTCAAACTTCACATTTCTCTAGTATAGGCTACTTATCGTAATGAATGATATCAGCAAAATGCCTGCGATAAATGATTGGTGTCGATAATTTTTGGTTTATCGTGGTTACTTTACCTATATCCAAACATTTGTTGGCACAGAAAGAAAGAAAAAGGGATAGCTTCTTCAGGAGATCAATATCATTAGCAATGAATGAATGACTGATGCTGTTAGCATTATTAAATGCTCCACAGCTAATTTCGTTAGCATTTTGCCATGTAATTCTAGATTTAGAACAAAAAACATTTTAGAAAGCAAACATCATCCCTTAGGTCTTGCACAGCAAATGCTTCAATAGTTTAAGCATATGCTGCAGAACAGTGATAAAAATATTTTCTCAGAATATTAAAGGTCTTAAGGGGGTTAGCTATAATTGACAAGCCACTGACGGAGTTGACAACAGATACTCAAAACAGACATATTTTTGCCTCTAAAAATTTAAGTTAAATACAAACATTTGTAAAACATGGAAAATTATTCATTTGAAAATCCACAATAAAAACAACCATTCTATCAGCTCTTTAAGCACTGACAGAGTTTAGTTGACATTAGACAAAAATCTAATGAAGTTGATTTTCACGGAGTTTACAAAAATATAATTTTTCATTCAAGTTGTATACACAGTAGCAATGTTGTTTTTCCTCGGCATCAGTCATTCATATGACTAAAACCTAATTAAAATGTTGGCCTAACATATTGGAACCAAAATTCAAATTCTATCAGGCAGATTGAGTTGAAAGTATGGTTGTGACCAAGGTGATTCCAATATTGTTTGATAAAAAGTAGAGAGCTTTACAGACCATGAGTGGTCTTGTTGCACTACCTGTACAGTGAGGGAAAAAAGTATTTGATCCCCTGCTGATTTTGTACATTTGCCCACTGACAAAGACATGACCAGTCTATCAGTTTAATGGTAGGTTTATTTGAACAGTGAGAGACAGAATAACAAAACAAAAATCACATGTCAAAAATGTTATAAATTGATTTGCATTTTAATGAGAGAAATAAGTATTTGACCCCTCTGCATACATGACTTAGTACTTGGTGGCAAAACCCTTGTTGGCAATCACAGAGGTCAGACGTTTCTTGTAGTTGGCCACCAGGTTTGCACACATCTCAGGAGGGATTTTGTTCCACTCCTCGTTGCAGATCTTCTCCAAGTCATTAAGGTGTCGAGGCTGACGTTTGGCAACTCCAACCTTCAGCTCCCTCCACAGATTTTCTATGGGATTAAGGTCTGGAGACTGGCTAGGCCACTCCAGGACCTTAATGTGCTTCTTCTTGAGCCACTCCTTTGTTGCCTTGGCCGTGTGTTTTGGGTCATTGTCATGCTGGAATACGCATCCCAAAACTCCAAATATTTTCCCTTAAAATTCCCATAAATGTAAATTGTAAACTCAAATAATGCAACAAAATCTAATAAAAAAAGTTTCCTTGCCGGACAAGGATTGTCCCAACTTTCATGAATCCCTGAGCTAATTTCCTGCTATTCTACACATTTTGCCATGAGGCTGAGAGACTATGTTGCAAAAGCTAATTCCCTGTAATTCAAAACATTATTTTCATGGCTTTTGACGTGTTCATATGCTATCTGGGAGGCCCGACTTCCAGGTGGACCCCAACCCCAAATTGTAAAAAAATAAAACCATTGTGATTATTATAATTTTTTTCTTGGGTTCGGGGCTCCCAAAACTCGTGGACCCCCACCTTGCTGGGGCTGCGGGAGTGTGTGCTACGCCAGTGACGCCGCGTACAAGACAACTCTGAATCTTGCAGTTAAAATGTACATACTTTTTTTTACGTAGAGCTTTCTATTGGTTGATTCTGATACTTTCCAAGTGGGAAACTCGTACCTCGTCTTTCTACAAGTTTCCAAGTCGGACATTTCTGAGTTTCCAAGTTGTCTTGAACGCGACACGTTCTCTTGCATGTCTTCACTCACAAACTTGATGCTCTTAAAGAGACCGTGTACAATTCCCAATGTAATGCATCTCAATAGGTAGTGCTTTTACACAACGTAGAAACCTAATATTTCGACAAATGACTTTGTAATACAGGTGTTTGTATCAACTTTTCCTTTTAATAATAAACAAATGTCTCTACAGGGTTAAATATTAGGGTTTAGGTTTCTAGGGCACAACATGTGCTTCAAAAATAGCTAGAATTCATATAGGCTAGGCCCAATATAGGCTATATCTCAATCAATAAAAAATAAAAACGTATTTTCTGGTGCTCCTACATTTTATGTTGTGTTCCTAACTTTTAAGTTGGGCGCACCAGTGCTACCAATGAACATGTTTAATTTACAGCCTTGTTTGCAACCAAGCAAATCATGTTGAAATCCCTGCTGTGTAACTTGGGCTGCCATCTTTGAAATTCTTTATCTTTACAAATCTTTAGAAATGTAATCTCAAAGTCTGTGCTGTAAATTGTACAGTATTTTATTTTGTAGGTTATCATAACTCATTAGAAAACACTCAGAGGATACTTTCTCGCTCTTGTAAATTTGGCAAACGGCAATAGTACTCTGAAACACAATCAGTTTATCTGAGGGACCAACAGCCTTCCACGGCCTCTGGGATCAGATAACCACTGTTCTGAGAACAGTCCTGTCTTGTCTGTCTCGGTCTGTTGGGCCTAAAGGATCAGATAACTACCCTCTGGTATCAGATTTCAGGTCAGTAAAAGGCGCCGGCAGGAAGGAACTGGGTGCTTATGTCATTATTACTGAGGGGGTAATTGTAGCAGAGAGCCATTGATGCCGAGGGCCCCTTAAGAGGTGTCAGGAGTGATTTGGGTGCGGACGGCCTGAATCTGGCTCATGTGTGTTCTCACCTCGTGTTGACACGCCAAACGCATGTTACCCCCTTGCCCCGGGGGAGGCTTTTAGCCATGCAGACATGGTAATGGTGTCATTTGAGACAATAGCAGGCTAACTGAGTCAACGCTAACTCTTAACTAGCCACTGGGTAATCAGCCGATCACACATCTTGCCTGACATCTGCTCTGCGTTGCATTTGGGCAGAGAAAAGTCAAAACCTTTTCTAACTTGTGCCACTTCAGTTATGAGGATAAAGACATAAAGAGAACTAGGAAAATCTGATAAATGTTGACAGCACGAAAGTATTGGTGTAATTTTATGGCAAACATTGAATGTGAAAGCGGCATTATTTGAGGGGTCGCCGTTGCCATTAACTGAAAAGACGATGCAGAATCTCTCCCATTCATAACCAAACCCAATCAACCTGTCCCACTGTTTCTTACTCCACCACTCACTCTTCCTGCACTCTCTCCTTACCCATTTGTGTCTCTCCATTTTCCCTTTATTCATCTCTCCCACCCGTTGTGGGCCTGTTGATGACACGTAGCAGCAGCGGTAACTTTGGGTGTTCTCTCCTCATATTTTACTCTGACAGGCGCTACGCGGTCCTACCACAGTGTAGCCTAGGTGACGAAAGGTTTCTTCATCCACATCTAGCATATGGTAAATACATTACACACTGTGTGCGAGTGTGACAATAACGCCAACAGCTAGAAGGGTTACGTACACTTTCAGGCCATGTTTTCATACTCGCAGACACTTTCCGGGACTGTGTGTTCATATAACACGTGTGTGTGTGTGTGTGTGTGTCTGATCAACCTGAGTGAAGCAGGAATGACAAAACTCATCACAGGTGGAAAAAGCAAACCACATCTGACATCAAAACAACACTAATGATATTACACAGGAATGCACCGCAAGGCTTCTATTAAGCATTCATTTAAAACAAAATGTCATTTAGCAGACGCTCTTCTACAGAGCGGCTTAAAAACAAACAATCGTTGATTGGACATTTTGAAACAGATTCAGTTAGTTGGAAAAACAACAGTGTTTTCTTTATTATGAGAAGACCTCAGGCCTAAATTCCATGAAGGAGCACAAGTCTCTTCTCTTTCCACATTCTTCCAGATCTTTGATGTGGAACATGTGGAACATAGCATATGGATGAAGAGGAATGCCAGAAATCTTTAACCCAGTGCAAAGTAAAGTGCTGTGACATCTTTCCACTGGTAAGTATTGCTATACAATGGGAGGATCTGCTAGGACAGGGAGTGAAAAGATTTCTCACTAACCAGGTTTCCGTCCAACCTTTCTATGAGAGTAAAAAAAAAAAAAGTCATGACAGGCCTGATGGAAAACGAAAATGTGTAGGTAAACTTACCAAATGTCAACAAAACAAAATACACTAGACAAGGTGGGATCTTTTTGTGTCGGTATAATTAATTATGCGAGAAATATCGGTGGTAGCGCTTTTATGCACAAATATTTATATAATAACCACGCGATGACGTGTGGTCCTCCAACTACGACTCGTCAGGAAAGCATGCAGTTTATTAGGCTACAGATTAAATAAGATATGATGAATTCACAGGGTGGTGAAAGTGCACGGTGATGATGCTCCTTTTCCAATAAATATTGTGGGTCTTATTTTGGTGACATGATCATCGATGGTTGGCTGCAGTTTGACAAATAAAAATAATCTCTCTCTTTTGTCCATAATAATCTCATCATGTAGACAATACCCGCATTGTATCTGCAAGCTGTTGGCTAGAGCGCACGTGCCAATACCAGAATGTGCACACTCCCTATATAATGCAATTTATTTTGTGAGAAAACCATCAGTATAGTTAAAAATGCGATAGCAACCCATTTAACTTGTATTTATTATTCGGTACATGGGACATTTGTATGTGTACTACGTCATCACGCACAGCCTTTTATCCCCAACAAGTCAATTTGATGGATACACGTAACAGGTGGAAAAATGTACATATTGTTTTTATGCAGATTTTAGAATATTCTCATGAAAATCTGGTCGCCAGTTGGTTGGAAACCTAGCTACTGAATGATGGATATTAAGCTCTCAAATGAATTTCAAAAGGGAAGTCCTCCAAGTTGCCACAAAAATATAAGTCTGCTTTCTTAACAGTTTATCAAGCATGTTGTGTAGGCCTACATTGTTTGAGCCTTCAAGATCTAGACTTCTTGATCTAGGCTCTACAGCTCTATCTCGTGGTCCTCTGTAGCTCAGCTGGTAGAGCACGGCGCTTGTAACGCCAAGGTAGTGGGTTCGATCCCCGGGACCACCCATACACAAAAATGTATGCACGCATGACTGTAAGTCGCTTTGGATAAAAGCGTCTGCTAAATGGCATATTATTATTATTATTATAGGCTAGACTTCTAATGTCAGTTGACCATAAATCACCTGAGTCATTGGATTGGGCAAGAGGCTGTTTCTCTTCTCAGAGCTTTTCTCCTCATACATCATATCAGAGTGGCTCACTGACATCCCCCTCACAGGGCTTCCAGAGGACCGGCCCCTGCAGTGGCCACCACTCCAGCATGCCAATTTCAACACTTCTCAGAGTCGCCACCGGGGGCACCGGCCACCCCTGCAGAGTGCAGTCAGCCCCTCCGTCGGCCCAGGGAAGCTATCCAGATCAGACCCAGCATTGGGAGCACCGAGCTGGGCCTAAGCAGAGGGGATTAGGCCCGCTCTGGTTCTTGTGTCCGTCGGCCTGGGTCTCGCTCTCTCTCTCCCACTGCGAGACAGTCACACAGGGTCCAGTGTTCCCCCTCTGTCCCACTCACACCCCATTAAAAACACAGACACCATGCTGAACCAACCCCTAAAAACAGGCCTCGCTCCAGCCGCTTCTGCAGATATCACTACTGCCTTCCTCATCTCCCCCCTCTCCATCTCTATCGCGCATCAGGACCTGTTAAGGCAGGCGACCAACAGAGCCCCACTTCAGTGAGCTATTGAGCAGGAAATGGTGTTTAATGTACATCCTCCCATTTAGAGGGTGATAGAGCACTGTGTGTGTGTGTGTATATGTGTGTATAGCCTGTTTCAGATCACACCCCAGCTTGAAACAAAGTGTGAATGACCACAGAGAAAACACAGGGGCAAAATGAAAGAGAGCAATGGAGAAGCTAGAGGGAAAGAAAGAGTGAGTAGGTCTGGGTGAGAGAGAGTTTCTTTTGGTGTGAGGGGTATGGATGGAGGAGCGGGGGGCCCAAATGGAGCGTTTGATTAAATCTGTGGTTGACGTGTGAGACAGGTGAGATTGATGAGGTTCCTCTGTGCTTCACACTGTGCGGAGAGCGGGGGGGGAGAGGAACAGAACGTGGCAGTGTGGCGGGCCAGGGAACAGGGCCCGCTCACGCCGTGGGGTCCCCTGGCTGATTAATGGGACTGGAGACCCTTCAAAAACAGTACTCCCCGCAGACAGAGACGGACAGCACTCCAAAAATAACCAGGAGGCAGGCCGGCCCAGGCCTAGCTAACCCAATACAGCTACAGCCCAGGCCTAGCTAACCCAATACAGCTACAGCCCAGGCCTAGCTAACCCAATACAGCTACAGCCCAGGCCTAGCTAACCCAATACAGCTACAGCCCAGGCCTAGCTAACCTTATACAGCTACAGCCCAGGCCTAGCTAACCCAATACAGCTACAGCCCAGGCCTAGCTAACCCAATACAGCTACAACCCAGGCCTAGCTAACCTCCTGAGTGGCGCAGTGGTCTAAGGCACTGCATCGCAGTGCTAACTGTGCCACTAGATATCCTGGTTCGAATCCAGGCTCTGTCGCAGCCGGCCGCGACCGGGAGACACATGGGCGGTGCACAATTGGCCCAGCGTCGTCCAGGGTAGGGGAGGGAATGGCCGGCAGGGATGTAGCTCAGTTGATAGAGCATGGCGTTTGCAACGCCAGGGTTGTGGGTTTAATTCCCACGGGGGGCCAGTATAAAAAAAATATGTATTCACTAACTGTAAGTCGCTCTGGATAAGAGCGTCTGCTAAATGACTTAAATGTAAATGTAAATGTAACCTTATACAGCTACAACCCAGGCCTAGCTAACCCAATACAGCTACAACCCAGGCCTAGCTAACCCAATACTGCTACAGCCCAGGCCTAGCTAACCTTATACAGCTACATCTTTGTTGGGCACAACATGGACAAATCAGGACATTGGACAAATGAAGTCCTTTCCAATAGCATTTGGTACCATTAATAGGCCTTTGCATTAAATAACGAGGGTTTAGAATTTCCCTATAAAAAGATTTCCTCCCTCAATGACTTAATGATGGAGTTGTTTAATTTTACTCCACAGACTGGGGGGAAAAAGAAAGTGGAACTAATAATACCATAAGCACATAAAAGTCACAACACAGCAAAAATAACCTGCACACACTTCATAAATTATTCAATCTATAATTATGGTAACACTCAGGCCAGGGCCAACCTCTGTCAGCAGTCTCGCTCCATCCCTCTCTCTTTCTCTGAAGAGTCCAGTAATTTCCTCCAGCACAGGCAGCATCTGTTGACTTGAGCTCGACCCAAAAGTGCGATACCAGATACATTTTAATTAAAAATGTCAGACCTTCTGTCCAACTTCTGGGTCTACACAGTGTAAAACATGGGATTGGGAAGCTTGTAAGGCTACCTTGGTATTAAGATGGACATATTACAGAGACAGACTTATTCTGTAATTCAGCTTAGGTATGTAAAAAAAAAGAAATTTGGACAAATGGCTAATGTGCAAAGCATTCGTGGGCCTAGCAGGACTGTGACATACCTAATTATCCTGCATGGAGGGGACTGGTGAGAATTAGTGGGCTTTTCTGACAGTTTAAAATAAATAAGGCAATTAATGAATGAGCTCAACCTGAAGTCCATGATGTTTCCCTGTTCCCCTGTTCCCCTCTCCCTCCCATGTGGGGCTGGGGAGCTGTTCTAATGGTTTTAGCTGACACCACAGTGAGTGAACATGGAACTGAGCAGAGCACAGAGGCGAATTAGAAGTCACT